CAAATAAAGGTTAGCATAAAAAATAAAAAAAAACGTCATAGTATAGTAAGGCATAAAAAGTCATAAAAACGTCTTAGTATAGTAAGACATAAAACGTCATAGTATAGTAAGGCATAAAAAGTCATACTATAGTAAGGCACAAAAAGTCAAAAAAACGTCATAGTATAGTAAGGCATAAAAAGTCATAGTATAGTAAGGCATAAAAAGTCATAAAAACGTCATAGTATAGTATGGCATAAAAAGTAATAAAAACGTCATAGTATAGCAAGGCATAAAAAGTCATAGTATAGTAAGGCATAAAAAGTAAAAAAAAACGACATAGTATATTCAGGCATAACAAGTCATAGTATATTAAGGCAAAAAAAGTCATAACATAGTAAGGCATAAAAAGTCATAAAAACGTCATAGTATAGTAAGGCATAAAGAGTCATAGTATAGTAAGGCATAAAAAGTCAAAAAAACAACATAGTATATTAAGGCATAAAAAGTCATAATAAAGTAAGAGATAAAAGGTCATTAAAAAGTCATAGTATAGTAAGGCATAAAAAGTCAATAAAACATCATAGTACAGTAAGGCATAAAAAGTCACAAAAACGTCATAGTATAGTAAGGTATAAAGCGTCATAGAAATGTCATAGTATAGTAAGGCATAAAAAGTCATAGTATAGTAAGGCATAAAAAGTCATAAAAAGTCATAGTATAGTAAGGCATAAAAAGTCATAAAAACGTCATAGTACAGTATAGCATAAAAAGTCATAAAAACGTCATAATATAGTAAGGCATAAAAAGTCATAGTATAGTAAGGCATAAAAAGCCATAAAAACGTCATAGTATAGTATAGCATAAAAAGTCATAAAAACGTCATAGTATAGTAAGGCATAAAAAGTCATAGTATAGTAAGGCATAAAAAGTCATAAAAAACAACATAGTATATTCAGGCATAAAAAGTCATAAATACGACAACGTATATTACGGCATAAAAAGTCATAGTATAGTAAGGCATAAAAATTAAAAAAAAACGACATAGTATAGTAAGGCATAAAAAGTAAAAAAAACGACATAGTATAGTAAGGCATAAAAAGGCATAAAACGTCATAAAAAGGTCTTAGTATAGTAAGGCATAAAAAGTCATAAAAACGTCGTAGTAATAGTAAGGTCTAAAAAGTCATAGTATAGTAAGGCATAAAAAGTCATAGTATAGTAAGGTATAAAAAGTCAGAAAAATGCCATAATATAGTAAGGCATTATATGAATGACTTACCTCAGGCTTGTTAAACATGAATATTCAGTTGTATGCTGATGATGTAGTCATTTTTACATGACAGAAGCCAGCTGACCTCCACTGTATTGAATCATGTCTCTTCTTGAATACTAAACAATTGTGTATGTTTAAAAAAACAGCCAGTAGAGGTGACACAGAAGGGAGGACCTTCACATTGCGTATTAATTTTCTGGTCACATTAGACTTTACATTGTCCTTTAAAACTAATTTTAATTTACGAAAAAACATTTGAGGCATTTTGTTAAATGGTAGTTAATGCTTCAGGATGTTTCTACACTTAAATATTTTTTCACACATCAACACATTTACTTTCTTTAATTTGTTCTGCAGCCTCAAAGATGACTTTTCTCAGGAGAAACAGATGACATCATACAACCAGGAAGAGAAGACTGAACTCTAAACAGAAACATTAAAGATCTTGACCAGTCTGCTTACATCTCCTTCAGATTTCATTCAGATGAGTCTAACAAAGTTTTTCAATTCATGTCGTTGTGTGAGGTCACATGTTGACTCATTGTGTACTTTACTTTAGATCATAAATGGCTGGAGTCTTGGCGATACAAGACCTGTGATTGGCTGAGACACCTATCAGTCAAGGTAAACACTCCCCCTCACATACTTGTCTTTAAGTCTTTTACTTAAATCAACAAGGTTTCATTCATCCATCAATCATTTATATAGAGATTTGATCTTGTTAAAACATCCATAATCAATAACTTGGTTTTCACTTCTCTTGATTGTTGAGGCTGAACTTTGGTTCATGCAGCTCTCAGGATGACCTGTAGTAACCCTGGTGATGTTCATGAACCTTGTGTCAGTAGAGAGATGCTGGAGTCAGAGTCAGAGTTTAAGATGCTTTTATTGATGATTTAGAAGAAACTGGATCAACAGAAACAAAAACTGTTTTTCTTGATGCTGTGATGTCATTTGTTTAACTGTAGGCGTCTTTCTCTGCCTGTGATTGGCTGGATGGTGAGGCCACTGGGAGCTCAGGGGTCAGCGCAGGTTGGACAGGCTCCGCCCCCGACTCAGCTGGAGGAAACAAAACGTAAGGTCAGTGAAAAGTAGATTCAGTAGAACAGTAGAGTAGAGAACAGTAGAGTCCAGTAGAGTACAGAAGAGAACAGTATAGTACAGTAGAGTAGAGAACAGTAGAGAACTGTAAAGTAGAGAACAGTAGAGTCCAGTAGAGAACAGTAGAGTACAGAACAGTAGAGAACAGTAAAGTAGAGAACAATAGAGTTCAGTAGAGTACAGTAGAGTAGAGAGCAGTATAGTAGAGAACAGTAGAGTGCAGTAAATAAGAGAACAGTAGAGTGCAGTAGAGTCCAGTAAAGTAGAGAACAGTAGAATTCAGTAGAGTACAGTAGAGAAGAGTCCAGTAAAGTAGAGAACAGTAGAGTCCGATATAGAACAGTAGAGAATAGTAAAGTAGAGAACAGTATAGTACAGTAAATAAGAGAACACTAGAGTACAGTAGAGCACAGTAAAGTAGAGAACAGTAGAATCCAGTAGAGAACAGCAGAGTCCACTAAAGAACAGTAAAATAGAGAACAGTAGAGTAATGCAAAGTAGAGAACAGTAGAGTCCAGTAGAGAACAGTAGAGTCAAGTAAGGAACAGTAGAGAACAGTAAAGTAGAGAACAGTAGAGTACAGTAAATAAGAGAAAAGTAGAGTACATTAAAGTAGAGAACAGTAGAATCCAGTAGAGTACAGTAAAGTAAAGAACAGTAGAGTCAAGTAAAGTAGAGAACAGTAGAGTCCAGTAGAGAACAGTAAAGTAGAGAACAGTACAGTCCAGTAGAGAACAGTATAGTAGAGAACAATAGAGTACAGTAAAGTAGAGTACAGTAAAATAGAGAAAAGTATAGTAGAGAACAGTAGAGAAGAGTAAAGTAGAGAACAGTAGAGTACAGTAAAGTAGAGAACAGTAGATTACAGTAAAGTAGAGAACATTAAAGTAGAGATCAGTAAAGATAACAGTACAGTACAGTAAATAACAGAACAGTAGAGTACAGTAGAGCACAGTAAAGTAGAGAACAGTAGAATCCAGTAGAGTACAGTAGAGTACAGTAGAGTCCAGTAAAGTAGAGAACAGTAGAGTCCAGTAGAAAACAGTAAAGTAGAGAATAGTAAAGTACAGTAAATAAAAGAACAGTATAGTACAGTAGAGTACAGTAAAGTAGAGAGCAGTAGAATCCAGTAGAGAACAGTAAAGTCGAGTAAAGAACAGTAGAGTCCAGTAGAGAACAGTATAGTACAGTAAAGTAGAAAACACTAAAGTAGAGAACAGTAGAGTACATTAAAGTAGAGAACAGTAGAGTCCAGTAGAGAACAGTATAGTAGAGAACAATAGAGTACAGTAAAGTAGAGAACAGTAGAATCCAGTAGAGAACAGTATAATACAGTAAAGTAGAGCACAGTCTAGTAGAGAACAGTAGAATCCAGTAGAGAACAGTATAATACAGTAAAGTAGAGCACAGTCTAGTAGAGAACAGTAGAATCCAGTAGAGAACAGTATAATACAGTAAAGTAGAGCACAGTCTAGTAGAGAACAGTAGAATCCAGTAGAGAACAGTATAATACAGTAAAGTAGAGCACAGTCTAGTAGAGAACAGTAGAATCCAGTAGAGAACAGTATAATACAGTAAAGTAGAGCACAGTCTAGTAGAGAACAGTAGAATCCAGTAGAGAACAGTATAATACAGTAAAGTAGAGCACAGTCTAGTAGAGAACAGTAGAATCCAGTAGAGAACAGTATAATACAGTAAAGTAGAGCACAGTCTAGTAGAGAACAGTAGAATCCAGTAGAGAACAGTATAATACAGTAAAGTAGAGCACAGTCTAGTAGAGAACAGTAGAATCCAGTAGAGAACAGTATAATACAGTAAAGTAGAGCACAGTCTAGTAGAGAACAGTAGAATCCAGTAGAGAACAGTATAGTAGAGAACAGTAGAGTACAGTAAAGTAGAGAAAAGTAGAGTAGAGTCTAGTGGAGTGGACTCTGTCTCTGTGACCCTGTGTACTCTCACCTGTCAGTCCCATCAGTCTGGGTCCCAGGTGGCTCCAGAATGAGCAGGATCTCTGACTCAGACCCTGCTGATTGACGAGGGCGGGGCTTAGCTGCAGGTAGCTGGGCGGGGCCTCAGAGGACTGGACTGGCTGCCAGCGGGGCAAAACTGACTCCCCCCACACCCGGGACAGGTTCGGGTTACTGAGAAAAAAAACAGGAAAAATTAACTTCATTATCTCACCTGTCCTGATGGAGTCACCTGGTTTAGATTTACCAGAGCGGTCAGAACCAATCAGATGTTCCCAACATCAGATGCTGTTTTTGAACAACCAAAGTGACCCCTCATCCCAACGTCAACAAATACTACCATGGAAACTTGTCGAAGAAATATCTGACGAGGAAAACGTGTCCCAAACATGGACTCCTCTACCTGGGCAGCATGGCCAGGTAGATTCGGCCCCGCCTAGTATAACGAGCAACTCACCCTGTCCTGACGAAGCTGGAGACATAGGTCATCACGGCCAGAGAGAGGCGTCGATCAGAGGAGGTGAAACGCTGAGAGCTGATTGGATGATGAGGAGTCCCGAACACAAGCTGAACATCCAAAGGAACAAACACATCGGCCCTGCAGACAGAACCAATCAATATGTTTGATCAGTGCTGATCAGGACAGCTTGGAAACAGACTAAATGATCCAGGAGCTTTCAACTGCATCTTCACCTGGATCAAAATGTTATGAAGTAGACACTGAGTGTAGAGAACAGGTGAACTGTGATGAGGGAGGGGCCTGTTAGTGGGCGTGTCAGGTACCTGTCGTGAGCGCTTGTGGCGGGCTGGTGATACAGGAAGACGTTAGCTTTGCTGTTAGCCCAGTGGCTAGCCATCTGCAGCGTGGGACAGACGATGAACAGATCTCTGCACAGAGACAGAGTGAGTGAGTGTGTAGTAATTGAGAGCATCAACAACCATCAGATACTGGATCAATATCTAATATTGATCAGTCCCGATTGAAATCAGGTCACCGCATTAAATCTGTATTTTATTTTCCAGCTGTTTGTGTTTACAAACATTTTGACGTCTTTGTTTTATTTAATAAGAAAAGGTTTGGAGAAAGTTCAGGTCAGGACTAAACCAGGTAACACCAGGTCACACCAGGTGAAACCAGGTTCTAACAGGGAAGTCAAAGTTTGAGCAAGACATTCAAACAGCTGATCTGATGTGTACAGCTGTTTTACAGATGTGATCAGGGGGTTCTGACCTGGTGGCGTTGTTGAGCGCTCTGGAGAACAGGTTGTATCCTGCAGGTGAAGTACTGTGATCCAAAGAGTAGAACCAGGCCGCCGCCTCCTTCAGCATGTCACTTCCTTTCTCTCCGCCCAGCGAGCGACTCAGCGCCTCATAAAACGCTGTTTTACCATCAGCTCGCCCCTGAAGAGCCTCAAAGTCCTGAACAAAGAGAACAAGACAACTCAGTCACTGAACGATTCCCGTTTGTTAAAGTTTCAAATCACAGTGTCTGGTTCATACTTTATTTTATGTCCTCGATGTCCTTTATGTTCCTTATGTCCTCTATGTCTTTTGTGTTCTTTATGTCCTCTATGTTCTTTATGTCCCTTATGTCCTTTATGTTCCTTATGTTTTTTATATCCTTTATGTTGTTTATGTCCTTTATGTTGTTTATGTTCCTAATGTTGTTTATGTCCTTTATGTTGTTTATGTTGTTTATGTCCTTCATGTCTATGTTATGTAGAATCATTTGACAACAGCTCGGAGCTCCACTGTCTTCTCCGTGACTCAAAGTTCCAGATGAAATTAGTATTTTTTTTGTCAAACTATCATTTCTAAGGTGAAGAGTGACTCTTTTTTACGTCACTGTTTCAAACTGAGTCTTATTGTGGAGAGATTTGTGTGACTTCCTGTGACCTCTGACCTTTATCCTGCGAGCTCGGCCGATCAGCCCGTCATGCTCTGATGTTCCCAGCAGCAGATCGACTCTGTAGAAGGTGGACAGGGAGTCCGACAGACGGACCGGAGACCAGGACCTGAATGGACCACTGAACGCCAACAGCTGCAGAGACACAGAGGACAGGTGAGATCTGCAGGAACCTGGACTCTGATCCTGACAGACTCACCTGGATTTTTAACTCTACCTTGGTCTGAGCAGCATTGAGAGCATGAACAGGTGTTGCTCTGAGGCAGGCCGCGAGGTCAGAGGTCACACAGCCCAGTTCTTCAGCCAGATCGAGCGCCTGACGCCTGGAGGAGGAGGGAGTCTGAACCAGTGATGGAGAAAACACAGAACCGCCCTGCAGGAGAAGAAGAAGAAGAGTTACACAAAAACACAGGACGTAAACATAAATCAGCTGTTTACATCCAGACTGCTGCTTCTACAGAACCTGTCAACATCTGATGATGACGAAGACTTTGTAAATGTCAAGATGAATTTCAACTATCATTATGATTTATTATTATTATTTGTTGTATTAAATTCATATGAAGTGAATTCACTCAGCTCAGTTTCTTTGCTGCTTTTCATGGTTGTCAACATAACGTTTGACCCCAAATTCCATTCCACCCATTTTTATCCCATTAAAGACAGAGAGAGAGACAAAGACAGACAGAGAGATAGAGAGAGAGAGACAAAGACAGACAGAGAGAGACAGAGAGACAAAGACAGACAGAGAGAGAGACAGAGAGACAAAGACAGACAGAGAGAGACAAAGACAGACAGACAGAGAGATAGGGAGAGAGAGACAAAGACAGACAGAGAGAGAGAGAGAGAGAGACAAAGACAGACAAAGAGAAAGAGACAGACAGAGAGAGAGAGACAGACAGAGAGAGAGGAAAAGAAGAGGAGAGTGATCATCAGATGTTTCTCACCATCAGCATCATGCGCTGGAACAGAGGAGGCGAGGACGAGGAGAGGAGGTGATGGCTGGTGATGTCAGCACCACGACGCTCCGCCCCCACCGTCACTCTTGTGTTGTCTCCGCCCATCAGGGAGATGTGGGCGTTAACCCAGTGAAGCACCGCCTCCTGGTCCGACAGCCCGTAGTTACCACGGAGACCAGACTCACCTGGAGATGAGACAAAGGTGTGAGTCATTCAGGAAGGTGTGTGTGTGTGTGTGTGTGTGTGTGTGTGTGTGTGTGTGTGTGTGTGTGTGTGTGTGTGTGTGTGTTTACCTGTGCTCAGGAATCCCAGGGCTGCGGTCCGGTAGTTTGCTGTTACCACGACGATATTGCCCACAGCAGCAAGGGTGGAGCCATCCAGCAATCCTGGATTCTGATTGGCTGACGGGTTGAAGAAGAAGACCAGGACTGGGACACGCCCCCTCTGACACACACAAATGTCAACAGGTGAGTTTCCTCAAAGTTTCATTATATATTCAATATATTTAATGATGGATTTAGACATCATAAAGTTTTTAATGTTTGTGAAGTGAGTTTCTGTGATCTGAAGTGACGAGGACTCACCACAGCAGCAGGAGCGAAGACGTTCAGGTAGAGACAGTCCTCACTGGAGGACGAGGACTCCATGTCTCCAGGCTGGACACAACTGGGACTGAAGGACACACACAACACGCAACACTCCGCTACATGTTACTGGATTATTAACACTGATGCAGTACAGAGACACGTGGATGATGATGACAGTGTGATGTCACTTTGTTCATCTACCTGTCGTCGTCACCTGTTCCATCTCATTTATAACAGCTGCTGATGTGACAGCTCTCACTCTCAGGTGTGTCAGGTGTGGTTACCTGGTGTGTTAATGTCTGTCCTGTGTTGCATTGTGGTCCATGAGCAACATACTGAAATACTTACAATGATGAGGTACTTTACACAAGTACACTACAGTACTACAGTAAAAGTACTTTCCATCACTGGATGTATGAACAACTGTGATTGCTGTGATTGGTGGTCGATGACACAGACAGGTGGATGACAGACAGGTAGGTGACAGACAGGTAGGTACCGTGGTTTGGTGGCGTCCAAGGTTCCTGTCCAATCAGCTGGCTGAGCCTCTTCAAAACGGAGTGATCCTATTGGTGGACGGGAGTATGGGACTCCCAGAAACTGAACGACCGTCCTCCGCTCTGAGCCCAGGGCTGTTTCCACGGCAACACCCTGCAGGATCCCATGACCTGGGATGGAGACGGTCGTAACCGGCAGCAACTGTTCTGAAGAAAGAAAAACACGCAGCCAGGTCAGTTCAAACCTTTGACCTGTAAGTGCTGCTCTCTGCTGTGATTGGCTGACTGGCTCACCTGTCCTCAGGTACACGTGAGGGGCGGGCTCTCTGATGACCAGCCTGCAGGAGGTGGTGGGTCTGGAGGAGCCGGGGGCGGAGCTTAGCCCACAAGCTGTGGTGTCAGGGTACAGGACACAGCGAGTGGCGGACTCCGTCTCACGGAGTGACACGGCGACACAAGACTCCGCCTCCTGGCAGGCTGACAGGAAGTGAACAGAAAGGTAATGATAAACCCTGAATCATATGAAGTACAACACAAGGAGACGTTTCTGTTTTTTTGTGGTTACCATGGAGACACCAGTCCCTGGTTTTGTCCCGGTCAGTGCTGATGTCACGGCTTACATGGATGACATCATACGTAGAGACAGACGGGTCGACCAGGACTGATGATTTAGGGAGGAGACGCCACTCTTCCAGAGACACTGAGACACAAATGTTCATGCACATGTAACAGTAGTAGTAGTAATAGTAGTAGCAGTAGTAGTGGTAGTAGTTGTAGTAGTAGCAGTAGTACTGCAGTACTACTGATACTGCAGTAGTACAGTCTCACCGTTGTCTCTGGTTGGTGGCAGGTTGAATGGAGGACACAGAGCAGGAGAAGAACTCCACTGATTCACTGAGAACACAAACAGCTCAGATTAAACTCTGTGTGTGTGTGTGTGTGTGTGTGTGTGTGTGTGCTGAGTACCAGGTTTCTGGTACCAGCCGAAGGGGTCTGGTGTGGTCTTCACTACAGATGGTCTGCAGTCCTGAGTCCTCCAGGTCGTCGTGTCGTCTTCACCACAGGTCTGAACCCCGAGACTAATCAGAGACAGACACACCACGTCTGAACCACCTGACACACACACACACACACACACACACACACACACACACACACGTTGTTAATAAACTTCCACACAACCGAATCAACGGTCATTAACATTAAAACCGTGGTTACCTGGTGATTTGGTGTCTTGGACGAAGCCGATACCACGGCAACAAGGATCCTCATCACAACGCCGCTCACACTCCATGAACCTGAACACACACACACACACACACACACACACACACACACACACACACACATTCTACACACACACACACACATACAACACACACACACACATACATTCTATCACAGCGTTCAGCACCTTTTTGAAGACCCACAGTCTTTTTTCACTGTGTGTGTGTGTGTGTGTGTGTGTGTGTGTGTGTGTGTGTGTGTGTGTGTGTGTGTGTGTGTGTGTGTGTGTGTGTTGTTACCCCTCAGACAGCGGTGCGTTGTCTCTCAGACTGACTCGGCTGCGGACGGAGTAAGAAACCATCTTCTGGAAGGAAACTCTCTGGTAGAAACTCTTCACTGGTCCGGACAGATCCACTGAACACAGAGTCACAGGTTAACCTGCAGAGAACCTGCTGAAGCTGCTGTTATATGGAGCTAATCATTTTCATTATCATTTCTGTATCTACCTGATCTGAGTTTCACTTTAGGAATAAAGTTTTTGAAACAACACTGACACTTTCACAATGTGTATTTATTTATTTATTTATTCTCTCACTCACATAAAACTCACGTCTAATATTCAAAAGGTATTTTCATGTTCTGTTTCAATTGGCTCAATGTCACGGGATTTGTGAAACTCTGAAAAATGACTTCACAGTTTTACAGCTGCTTCTTACGGCGGTGTATGAGGGCCACTGTAAAAACTAATAAATAACAGAGCTGGCGGAGGGGGTTATATTCTGATAAAATACTACAAGATTAAAGTCGTACATTTACAAGAAAAGAACTCAGATATTTTCTGAGATCATAAAGTCTGAAATTAGCTAATTCTTTTGTGAATCACAGTTGATTCCTGACCTGCACCGGCCCGTGCTGCTGACGTTTTATTGTTACTCTAAATGAGCAGAGACTGTTTCTGTTGACTCAGATTGTGAACTCTGGTATTCCCACAAACAGCCTTTAAACTAGAGCTTTACATGAGGTCCACTCTCAGCCTATAGCCCAGTATATACAGTGACCACGTATTTCACATAAAACAAACAAACACTGTTTTATTCTAAATTTACAACTTTAATCTCAGACTCTGACCCCCGGCTTCCCCCGGCTCTGTGATTTATCTCTATTTCCTACAGTAGAACTGGCCGTCCTTCCTCCTTGTCCAGTGACTGTGTACGATCTGTTTGCAGCTCAGACACCAACTGTTCACACTGAGGATTCACTCGTCTCATCTTTCTTAGTGTTTCTGTCCCTTGATCGTCTCAGGAGCTGAACAGCAGCAGCGTGAGTGTAAATACCCTTCTTGCTGTGGGTGTTGTTGGGCGTCCTGTCCAGCAGGAGGCGGCAGGGTCGTCTCAGTGGTTTGTCGTACGCTCCACAAACTCTGCTGTCGGGATACAAGGAGCAGCTGAAGAAACCTGGTGAGTCGGCGTCTCTGAGGTCGGCGACAGAGCAGCGCTGCTCCTCGTCACAACCTGAAACACAAACACAACAACCACACCTGAAGTGTGTTTATATCACCTTTAACAACCCCCTGTGAGAAAACACTCTCAGGCCAGAGGAACACAAACTAGTCCAGAAGATTCAGTCGTACGTGAGAGACACCAGAGCAGTGCCTGCTGGGAGTTGTAGTTCTTTTTGTTGAGCCAGAAGGAAAGTGTGGAGAGATTCCTCTGAGGATCCACGAGGACATCGTCCTCTGACAGAGACTCAAACTTCTGCTGCACTGACCCTGAACAGATGAATGAAAATGAAGATGATGAATCAGACGTGATGTTAATGTGATGAAGGTTCAGCCTCCTCATCATCGCTCCACACAGCTGATGTTTTCATGTCACATTAAAGAAAAGGTTTTGTGTGTGTGTGTGTGTGTGTGTGTGTGTGTGTGTGTGTGTGTGTGTGTGTGTGTGTGTGTGTGTGTGTACTCAGTACCGTCCAGAGGAGGACTGACTTCTGCTGCTGCACACGATGAAGAACCAGAAGCGACTGCTGGGTCTGACAAACAACAGACAAATAAACAAAGTGAGAGCCAGTCAGCAATGAGGGACGACCATCTTTACTCTGCTGTCCTGCTACAAACAAACACCTGCAGAAGAAGCTCCGCCCACATGTACATACACAGCAGGTCAGAGGTCAAAGGTCACAGACCTAATGCTGTCTACACAGTGAGTATGACACTGATCCTCATCACGTCAACACACTGTACTTTAACATGTTGGAGTGACATCATACAACAGGTGACATCACAGGTCAACCAAACTATTAACTGTGATGTCACAGTTAAACTTCACAAACAGACAGCATGGGTTTTTCCTACATTACACACAGTCTGTTTGAACAGTGAGAGTTAGGGTTAATATCAGAGGTCAGAGGTCAGGTACCAGAGTTCAGGTAGACGGCCTGGAAGCTGACGATGGAGGCCTGGTAGTCCTTGTTCTTACTGTCGGCGGGCAGAGCAGAATCAGCTAGACAGAGAATCGAAAACAGAGTCAGAGGAAACTACTTCCTGTCTGAATGGTGACGTCTGTTTCCTGCTTCACTCGTTTGATTTTCTCACCTATGGTGAACGTCTCTCCTCCAAAGTCCAACACGAAGGTCCCCTGCTGCATGTTGTAGGTTAGCTCCGCCCCACAGATACGATTGGCTGTTCCCTGTCCAATCACGTCCCAGTCCTGGTCACCACACATTAAGACCGACGGAGCTCTCAGCCAACCACAGAGCAGAGAACCTGAGGGGGGTGGGGCATAGAGGGAAATGAGACATTCATTCATTCATCCATTCAATTCTTTCATTTACTTAACCCTCACATACTGTTCATGTTTCTGCCTCCACATCACAGTAAGAACTCCCTCATAATAAGTGTCTGTAGTGAATCTTGAACTACAGATCTATGTAGAAAGTATAAACAGCCTCTCTGACATTAATACATGGAGGATTAATCCTTAATTAATGTGTCAGAGCAAGGAGAGAGTATTCTTTAGGTTTTCATCACTGGATTTTGGAGAGAAACATCTACTGCACAGTCTGTCTGCTGCCAGAACCTCAGTCAGTGAAGTGGCAGCTCAGGTACCTTTATAATGACCCCCCCCCCCATGACCCTTCAAAGACCAGCAGGTGCCTGTCTCTGGGGGAACCTGGGCAGATGTGGCGGGAACACAGACAGTTCTGGTGACAGTGTCGAGGTCCCCCTTGAACTCTGTCACCACTGTCCCATAACAAATACACACAGACATGGCAGGTACAGTTTCACAGTTTCAAGATCCCCTAAAACCTCCATGTTCCTTCATCTGACCCACAAATCTAATATCTGTGGATCTACAATCCACTTCAGTAGATACGGGTCAGATTTGACCTGAACAGCCTCAATGTACAAACATTTGTAGCAACTGAACAAAAGTATAAAATATTATAATATTTTAAACATATTTGTGTATTTTTGGTCATTTTAGGAAAAGTCATCAAACTTCAGGCTAAAAATTTATTTTTATTTATTTTATTTTATTTTTTACTTTTTTGACCCGTACAGTAAATGTCACTCTCATTACTTATTATTCTCATTAATTCATTCACTCAACGTATTCGTTCAATTACACATGTATGTTAAGCGCTCCTGTCTCCATGGTAACGTACCTCCGTTCAGGCTGTTCTGGTTGAGGATGAATCCGTTGCAGCAGGTGTCGCGGCTGCAGCCGTCCTGACAGAAACGATGAGCGTCAGACAGGGAGGTCCGTCCGGAGAACACCTGAGTCCTGAACACACCTGAGATCACCTTCCTCATCGTCATCCTCACAAACCTCTGCTGCTGCTGCGAGGAAAACTCCGCCCCTGAAACACACAGGTACACAGTCCTGTCTGAACACACCTGTCGGACTGAACGCTGACAGACTGAGGTTACAGGAGTGTTTGAGTGTTGCCATGGTAACAGTACCTTTCTTCCTGATGACCAGCATATCTGAAGCTCCGCCCCTCACTCTAAGAGAGCAGCTCAGCCAATCAAACATCTCGGCCTGAGGATTACCCAGAAACCCACTAGTCTGAAGAGTCACACACACACACACACACACACACACACACACACACACACACACACACACAATAGTTACAACACTGTCATGTTGACCTGTCAGTAATAACTAAGCAGCTCCTCTGAGGAGAGACGTTTGAGTTTCAGTGTTTTAAACTTGTGACAAGGTTTTGAATTAATGTCAACAACATGTTTTTAAATGTTAATTTGCTTCTTACAGCTCAAGTTGAAACATTTAAAGAGTCGGTGCGTCACATTTTGAGATGAAAACAGTCACAGAGTCAGATCTGAAAGTATTTACACTTAATAAATAAAATACTTACGGAGATATTATAATAAACATTCTATGATAGAAACATAATAATATAAATTACGTAACAGTAATTAATTATTTACTTAATAATTCGTTTTCATCAATGTAAACAAACTGTTATTGAGGTGTTATTGTCATCCCAGTTTGTGTGTATGTGTGTGTGTGTGTGTGTGTGTGTACCTGCTGGGAGGTGTTGCAGAGTGTGTTCAGTGTGTGTGTGCTGTACAGTTCACACTGCGTGTTGAACAGCGCCACATGGTGGCAGGACGGCTCCGCTGCGCACGCTGAGAGAAACAACCAGTAACAATGAAAATGTTCAAATATTCACAGCATTTAAAATGTTGCTAAAGTTTAAAATATGATCAGAAAAACACATGAGAAGAAAAAATGTGTGATTAACCAGAACAGCAGGTTACACTGTTCTACAGCAGCTGGTTTGGAACCATTTCCCCCTGATTTTAATGTTTAATAAAGTCTCATAAAAACATCACACAGCCACAGTTAAAGAAAACACTTGTTCACCATTAAATCTTTAATCATAAATGACTTAATTTATTTATCTCTAAGAAAAAAAGGACACTGAATACACAAAACGTCTTATTTTACAGATTTATGGATTATCAGTTACCAATAAAATAGTGAGAATTGTTTCACGTTAACAAATTGTAGATGACAGTGTACACACAGCAGGGGGCGCTGCAGGGCGGGGCTAATGTCGTCAAGGTCAAAGTTTAATCACCTTCTACAGTTTCAGGTTGTTTAATTCATGACGAGTCTCATCTCACATTTTAAATCTGACACCAGATAAATTTAATAAACAATAAAGGTACATTAAATTAAAACACATAAAAATACCTAAGAACTGTGTGTGTGTGTGTGTGTGTGTGTGTGTGTGTGTGTGTGTGTGTGTGTGTGTGTGTGTGTGTGTGTGTGTGTGTGTGTGTCTCACCTTGGACACAGGTTTTGAGGTCAGAGGTCATCGTCTTCAAGACTTCAGTATCTTCAGCTCCAAAAATCAAATCTGATCCAGGAACAGCCTGAAACCTGCTGAGAACTACACACACACACACACACACACACACACACACACACACACACACACACACACACATTACAAAGTGCTTCATAGAAAACAACTTCACACCAAAAAAACAGAGCTGTTCTCTGATTGGCTGCTGCGTCTTCACCTGAGCACTCCTCGTCAGTCAGAGGTTTGTCGCTGATGGTCCACTCAAGCTCCGCCCCCTCGCTGCTGAAACACCTCCACCTGCCAGACAGGAAGTCAGGCTGTGCTGACAGGAAGTCGCCACGTTCTGAACACCGCAGGCCCCGCCTCTGACACTCCGTCACACCTGACGCACAGACACAGGTAAATCACAGACAGGTCAAATGAAATAAGTGATGACCTGATATTACATAATAAGCAAGGGTAGAAATACATGATATAAAACGTATAAAATTAAAATACGATATATAACTAAATTATATATTAACATATTAACACATATTAACGGGGATTTGTCCAGTTATAAAAACCCTGATCAAAGTTAAATATATATATGAACATGAATACAAACTTCTCTAAATGTTCTTTATCAAATAAAATGTTTTAACTTCACCTGTCAGTTAAAAAGCCTGAAACATTTCAATCCGTTCTTAAAGTCTATTTTCATCAATCAACTGATCGATTGATCGCTGCAGCTCTAGATCAAAATTACTAAAGTTACTGAAGCTCTGACTCACACTGATTGACAGATGACGCTCCAGCAGGTGAGGAACCTCTGGGACACTTGTTGCAGAAATCCCGCCCCTCTTCATCCTGATAGGTTCCCAGAGGACACAGAAGACACGCCCCCTCCCTGGAGAAAGTCCCAGCAGGACAAACAACTGCCGAAACAGAGACGGAGAGAAACTAAACCATGAGACCGCGACAGGACAGAGACCTGCAGAGACGGAGAGAAACCTGCAGAGACTCACCGCAACCTTCACTGTCACTGGCCAGCTGGTAACCATGGGAACAGCCAAAGCTTGGTGTCGTCGTAGAAACCAGTTTGGGCTCTGATGTGAGCGTTGACTGGATATTACCCAGAAGGTTCCGAACTCCTTCTAGGAGTCTGGACTCGTTCAGGAACAGACCTGGTTTAAAAAAAACACACATCAACATGAGGATCCAGAACCAGGATCCAGAACCAGGATCCAGAACCAGGATCCAGAACCAGGATCCAGAACCAGGATCTTCTACAGACAGTGACGACAAACAAATGTTTATTTTAACTTAAACAATCAGATGTTTCATTTCACTGAATGTGTTCAGATTTATTTGTAGATGACAGACGTCTCCTTCCTCAGTGTGACAGGTCAACGACCTCGTCTGTCTCTGCTCACCGATGTCATGGAGGTCGGGGAGGTCAGAGGTCGGGAGGTCAGAGAGGGCGGCGCTCCATCTGATTGTTAACTTCAGTGACTCGTCACCGTCACACTGCAGACGCACCGACGCGTCGTCACACACCGACACGGAGCGGCCCGACACGGGGAGCTACACACACACACACACACACACACACACACAGTTCATGTTGCTTCACACTCATTCAGATTTACTTCAAACGAACATTTGATCCAGACCCAGTTTCTGCAGCAGCTCGGGGCTGCATGTGATGAACAGTGTGTCAGGTTGAAGTTACATGAAGCAGGATTTATTTAAAAACAGGATTTCACTCAAACCTCTGGACATGAAAAGGATGGTGGAGGAATAAGTCCAGGCTTTTTAATGTTGTGAAGTTTCAACACTTTTGAGCTTTTTTTTTGCAAATTTCTCATGAACTTCTTGAATGAAATCCGTCTGACAACAGCTGCTCTGCTCTGCTCTGCTCTGCTCGGGGGGGTCGGCCGGACTCTGAACTATCAGAGTCCAGGTTCTACAGAAACTGATTCTACGCATTTTGTTCTGCATGTGAGAGCTACACATTACACATACATGGAGTGTACAGACACAGTGTAGCACAGCAGTGTCAGGTGGTATTGGTGGGTGTGGTGTAGTCCAGTGTGTTTACCTGTACGGAGCAGAGCCCCCTGCTGGTCATCGCGCTGAACAACACAGACTGTAAACTGCTGATCTGAGAGCAGGACGACGATAACAACCAGAGCTGAGAGGACGACACGGACTGCAGGGGCTGAGAGACTGAACACACACACACACACACACACACACACACACACACACACACACACACACACACGTATTTAAGGGTTCAAAGGTGTCAGAGTGTGTGCAGTCAAATGTTGGAGGATCCTATGACTGTGCTAAATAAAAATAAAATAAAAAATAAATAAAATAAAAAAATATGTATAAATATATATATGGAGAGCAAAAGCTGAAAACATTCAGATTTTAAATCAATTGTATTGATATTGACTCTAATGATTCCAAGTTCTTCTGCCCTCTAGTGGCCAAAACTGATTCATGATGCTCTTAAGTTAAAGTGTTAAAAAGACCACAACAGTGTGTTTTATGTTTTAGCTGATTAACTACAAATGAAATATTCTTTCACTCCAGTGTCTGCTGTGAACAGAGACTGTGATGGATCAAGTGTCTGCAGCTTGAACTGGGAATGAAGTGAAACAAAGGAAATCTAAAACGTGTTGGATGAACTCAGCAGAGATCAGCTTTAGAAACAGCAGGGTCAGAGGTCTCACTCTGACAGGCTCCACTCAGAGGTTTGTTTTCTCCGTCCCATCGCCGACTCCCAGTCTCACACAGGAAGCTGCTGACAGGAAGTGAGTTGTGGTAACCACGGTGACAGACGAGATCACAGCTCTGACGACCATCGGCCATCGGGCGGCAGACCAGTGCACCATGGGTAACATCAGGGTCTGGACAGAGAGGACCTGGAGAGGAGCAGGACAAGCGTGGACCAATCAGAAGCCTGGGTCAAAGCTGCAGTTCCTCTGACGGCCACCAGGTGCTGCTGTGACCAGACTGACAACAAATACAACAACCACCAAGTCTCTGACCCGAGCGACAATAAGGACCTACGATCACATGATGGCGTCCGTCCCGTCTGTCGCAGTGTCCTGGTCCCGCCCACCTCCTGTCCGTCCACAGAGACACACCAACAGGAAGTGACATCACACTGCAACGGGATGAAGGAGCCGTCGGGGCGACACTGGAGACCCTGCAGCTCACACCAGCTGGGACCTGAACACACCACCCAACATTTACAGAGTGAAGTGTGGCAGTGAATGCATCACTGACAGCAGCGTGTGTGCGTGTGTGTGTGAGTGTGTGTGCGTGTGTGTGTATGTGTGTGTACATGTCAGCTGTCCGGCGGCGCTCGGTGTTGCCGTCTGTAACGTCTCTCCGGTCAGAGGGTTCACACACCAGCCTGCAGCACCTCCTGTCTGCAGCACAGAGTAACGACCATCCTGACACACACACACACACACACACACACACACACACACACACACACACACACACACACACACAGTTTAGACAGAATGTAACCTTATTTTAACGAGTAAAATAATTTTTCTCAAGTCAGTGTAAAGCTGCAGCGATGCTGATCATGTGATCAACATGATCAACTGCAGCATCTCCAACAGGTTGAAGAGCGGAAACAAGGTGGAGGACCAGACGATCTTCAGGTAGGTGTGTGTGTGTGTGTGTGTGTGTGTGTGTGTGTGTTCCTACCTCCTCACACTTCGGGTGGTAAGGTGAGGTTGTGGTGACGTCAGAGCCTTTCATCCAACCAGAGAGCAGAGAGTGAGCCTGAGCTCTCTGACAGCGAGTCAGACCTGCAGGACACACACACACACACACACACACACACAGACACACACACATACACACACACACACACACACACACACACACACACACAGAGACTTATCTGTGACTTTATCTGACGGAGAAGGTGATGTAATTATCTGTATAGTTGTAAAAGGTGGATTTAAATAAAGCTTTTAAAGTGTGTGTGTGATCTTACATTTGGGCAGGCTGAGTGAGCGGCTGCTCAGTGAGTCAGTGATGTATTCTCCATCTTCATCAACGCACCAACATTGACCTGAACACACACACACACACACACACACACACACACACACACACACACACAGACGTATGAGTGTGTGTTCTTGTACATCCACCTCTGTGAGGACCAATGTGAGTTTCACACCTGGGGAGTGAGGTCATCACCTCAGGACTGATGGTCAAAATAACCTATTGATTAAATGAGTGATCGAAGCAAAGATTAAATAAATAATTGATCATTTAGACTTAATCTGCAAAGTAACTAGTAACTACAGCTGTGAAATCGTTTGAATATATTTCACTTTGAGAAGTGGTGGAATCAAAAGGGGAATACGACGGTGGCCCGAGAGCTCAACGCACCGCAGCTCAAGAAAACATCTTCATCAGTTTGACAACACGGTATTTATTTGTGATGGTGAAGGTCAGAGGTCAGAGAATTCATCACGTCGCAGTACAGAGGTACAAACGTACCTGTGCTGTGGTAACACTGAGTGAGCAGCCAGCGTCCGTCAGCATCACACTGAGGAGTGAACGGCTGGTAGGAACGACGGCGAGGAGGCAGGAACATCTGGACAGCTGGAAAACAACAACAACAACATCAGTGACCCAACCACAAACAGTTTTATCTCAACCGTGATCTGGTTTTGCAGCTTGATTGTTGGATCACCATCTATCAGGTTTATTAATATATTCATATATTATCAATCAGCCAGAAAGTGAAATCACTAAATCACCAATCAGACAAAATCAGGACCTGAACTGAACGTGCTGAGATCAGCAGTGTTCAACTGTGATCACTTCCTGTCTACAGTGTATCGTGATGACATCATCAGGAAGTGATGTCACACTGAATCAGATCAGCATGTGTTAATCAGGTGCAGATCAAAGTGAATCTGATTAAATTCCAGTTCTTTTCCAGAAACATTCGTCTTCATCTGACGGCTGACTCACTGGAGTAAGCGGCCAATCGCAGAGCAGCTCTGGATCGGCTCAGCAGGCTATCAGAAATTTGCATCTCCTCCTCTGATTGGCTGACTTGCAGCTCCTCGGGCGTCAGACGCAGACCTTCAGCCAATAGGAATCCGTATCCCAGCGGCAGGTGGGAGGAGTTAGAGAGAGTGATGATGCTCTTCACCTCCTCTCTGAACGCTGTGACCTCAGCATACACCTGAGAGCACCCACCTGCAAGTTAGCATCAAGCTCTGGTTAGTGTGGCTAACAGGTTAGCATCCAGCTCTAATTAACGTTACATTCATTCAATCTAATGGCTGAACATTTTATCAGCGCGTCAACAGTGACTCTTATAGATGTTTATACAGAGTAACACAGAGATGACAGGTAAGTTACACAGAGTATCACCTCCATGAAAAAGATCAGATAAGAGAAGGTGTCTCACTCTGTCACTGTCAGAGACACAAACCGACGTCAGAGCAGTTTCACTTCGTTCTGTCGTCACATGAACGTTTCCTTCACGGCTCTTTGATGAGCTCTGTCATTCAATTAACAATCATTTTTAAAAACACAAAAAAATCTTCAGAGGAAACATTTTTTAATTATGCAGCGTTAGAAAACACCTGTGTGACAGACCGCTGCTCAGGTGATCTTCTGCCGTTACCTTTCTGTGACACGGTTGAGTTTAAGATGTTCTATCTATCTGAATATAACTCTGATGTGTTCTGTGTTTACTGAAGCCGAAGTGACACAGCTTTGTTTTCTGTATTGGCTCTTCCTCAGATTCATCTGTGAACACACTCAGATACTGCTGCACCGTATCATCACTTAACGACAGCTGACCGCCTTCAGGCTACAGGCCTCTGTACAGAGCAAGAGTCAGAGCTCGACAGCAGTTTGTCTTGGACTCAGTCAAAGAATCTAAACGTCTGTTTGTTCTTCAGGGTTGATATCAAAGTTTTTAACTGACCTGCAGACGACTGGAGCTTCTGAGTTTTTCTCTCTGGACCTGAAACGCAGAAAGACAAACACTAGAACACGACTGGACTCGAAGTGAAGGAAACTAAAACAACAGTTCTGATCTCGTTCCTTCTCTTCAGAGGACGAACCCTTTAGATTTGAATGACTACACCATCTTCCCTCTGGCGCCACCCTCAGGACAAACTTCGCCCCATATCAGCAGTTTGGTTTACAGGTTGTGACCAGTTCAACCAGAGATTTCTTCTTTCCTCTTTTAGCATCAAAAATTTATTTTCAATTTAAAGGAAAAAAACGTATTATTATTATTATAAAATATTTGTCTAATTGTCAGGAACAGATGGTTTGAGATGTTCCCTACAGCTCTCTTTGTTATTCCCCTAAATTAAAAACAATATTTAAGCATCTAAATCTTTCGCAGCTATCTCTCAGTGACAGTCGGCCTGTTTAACATTAGATATCTTACAGCTGACGGGGCCCCCTGTTGGCCCTGCAGTCATTGTTTTCCCCTCAGCGTCCACACAGAAGCAGCGTGACCCGACACACTGCAGCGGCAGGAAGTCTCCGTCCTCTGAGCATGCTGGGATGTGGATTTCAGCTCCAGCTGCCATGTTTCCTTTCACCTTCAGCGCCGTCGCTCTTGTTCTCTCACAGCGGGACGGACAGCGAGGCCGACGACCCAAGGTCCGCGACCCTGCGACCTCCAGACCCTGAGCGTCGACGCACCAGCACTCTCCGCCCTGACACTGAACCTCCTGGAAACCACCGTTGGACGTGCAGCTGGGAACAAAGATGGCCGCTGCATCCTCCTCCTCTTCCTCACCAGAGCAGGAACGAAGCAGAGGAGTCAGGACCTGAAAACAACAAGAATCTAATGAAGCACAGGATCACTGGATATTTGACCTCTGACCCCTCCTGTCTGATTTCAGTCCATCCATCCAACACTTTACCCAATCTGAAGAGAGGAGGCTCTGAGCCTCTCTTCTGATTGGCTGACTGTTTTCTGACTGATCCAATAAAAATAAAGCAGATTTCAGGTAAAAACACTCAGAGAAACCAAATCTTGTAAGGTTTGGATGGTGGGTCCAGGTGGGCGGGGCTTGGTGACTGTTTTGTTGTGACATCACAAAGTTCCAGAAGTCCTGACGGCTGGTTTTAAGGCTCAGTTTCTGAATACAGGCTGTGTGCATTTCTCTGTGGACTGAGGCTTTGATACTTTCACAGTATTAATATAGAAGCTAGACCTGATCTATAATCACACTACACATGGACAGAGACCTTTACACTGGAGGAGCTTTAAGAATATGAAGTGTGACAGGTGCCCTCCTCATCTAAATTAAGAGCTGCCACTGGCATCACCTTCCATAGTTTTAATGTAAACCTGACCGACAGTGACGAGGAGAGCGAGACCGTCTGCTGCTTTGTCCTGAGCTGAAGATGGTTGAACTGTTTCATCTTGACCTGTTCATTGTGAGCTGATGAGCAGCAGTGACAGCGTTTTCTACTATCTCTGGTGGCTCCGACTGAAACTCTATAAAAAAGGATCAAACAGCCTCCTGTGGCACAGTCACAACTATCCTACTGTTTCCCTTCACTATATCACACTTTTTAACCCTGTGAGGAGGACGGGTGTTCCTGTTAATATCTCTGTGAGAACACAGAGTAGAAATCTGGTTCAGACGTTGTTAGAATCTGTCGACTCTCCACTTTCCGTTTCATATTCTTGTGAGATGGTACGTGAGTCAGAGCCGGAGCTGGAAGGCGTCGAAGCAGGTCTCTAAAAGCTGGTTAAAGCAGAATGGCGGACGACGCTTCCACTCAGTGATTTTACAAAATCTCATGTCAGGCTTTTATTAAACATCTATTTCACTCATACACTGCTCTGTTGTTGATGAAGCTCAGACTCTGGTCAACACATTTCACTTCATCACCATCAGGGAAGTTTGTTTTGGAGAATTTCAGTTTTTCAGCATCTGGTCAAAGAGGGTGAAAAAGGGGCGTCATTACAGAAGCAGCTGAGACAGATGTGAACACTGGGATATAAACACCTGGGCGTCATGTGATATCAACCTTTGAAAAGTCCATTAAAGAGATACTGGAGAACCGGAGGACATACCCTCAGACCTCCGAGAGTTAAGGACCTGAATCAGGTTTGGGACCTGCAGATCCCCTGACACCGTCTGAACTAAAACCCTCTGACATCACAGTCAAGTATGAGGTCAGAGGTCAGAGGTCAGAGCAGAGGTTGGAGGACTGCTTTATCTGACCTGTTGCACTGAGGCGGAGCCGCTGAGCCCCGTCAGTGTGTGTCGGAGGGCGGAGAGGAAGGCAGGATCCTCCAGGGCTCTGCTGATGGTCTGGACCAGGTCCCGGTTCTTCTGGAGGCCGCTCTGAGAGAAGAGCCGCTCCAGGCCCGGAGCTCCTCGAGGTCCCACCGCCCCGCTGAGGTTGAAGGCCGCAGCGTTCTTCAGAAACTTCCCTCCGAACAGGTTCTCCTGGAGGCGACGGGGGGAGGCGCGAGCCAGACCCTGCAGGGCCCCTCCCACAGAGGGGAAGAGGCCCTGGAGGACTTCGACCAGGTGAGACAGGAAGGAGGTCAGATCCGCCTCCGCCGGCAGGAGATCTCTAAGAGGCCGGAGCAGGGAGAGACAGGAGGCTGGAGGTCTGCCAGAGGAGGCCTCAAAGAGAGGAGGAGCAACAGGACCAGAGAAGAACCGGGACAGAGCCAGACGACGCTGAGAGGGACAGTCAGCAAGACCTGAACCTGGAGGAGGAGGAGACAGGAGAGGAGGAGAGGGGAGGAGGGGAGGAGGAGGAGAGGAGGAGGAGGAGAGAAGGAGGAGAGAAGGAGGAGAGAAGGAGGAGGAGAGGAGGAGAGGAGAGGAGGAGAGAAGGAGAGGAGGAGAGGAGGAGAGGGGAGGAGGGGAGGAGGAGAGAAGGAGGAGAGAAGGAGGAGGAGGAGAGGAGGAGAGGAGGAGAGAAGGAGAGGAGGAGAGGAGGAGGAAAATCAAATCTAAATTAAATAGAGCATAAGACGAGAATAGATAANGAGGAGGAGAGGAGGAGAGGAGGAGAGGAGGGAGAGGAGGAGGAGAGGAGGAGGAGGAGAGAAGGAGAGGAGGAGGAGGGGAGAGGAGGAAAATCAAATCTAAATTAAATAGAGCATAAAACGAGAATAGATAAGATATGAAAAAGGAGGAGAGAGGAGAGGAGAGAGAGGAGGAGAAAGGAAAACAAGAACAGAGCAGAGACAGATGGATGTCTCTTGTTCCTCCACACTCACCACAGACCAGGGCGTCTCCGTGCTGTCGTGTCCCAGGAAGCTCTCTTCCTGTGGGGTCCACACACCAGCACTGCCCCCCCTGCTGACACTGTGTGGAGGTGAAGGAGCCTCCGCTCTCACAGGACGGGACAAACACACTGGACGCCGCCATCGCTGCCCGCCGCTCCTCCTCACAGGGAGAGGGACCTGAGACACACAGGAGCCTCAGTTTAAACCAGTTCAGACCAGTTCAAACCAGCTCTGAGCCACACCTCCACCTGACACATTAATTAACCTGCTAATTAATCTATGCTAAAGCAGTGAGATGCAGCTGAGGTGGGTTTACATCTGAAGTGTCCGGTGAGGGCGAGGCGAACTCCCAGCATCCTCCTCTGCAGGACTCTGTAGATGTTGGTCTGAGAGAAGGAGCGACCGGACCGAAGACCAGCGAACGCAGAGTCGTACACCTCCGACAGGAGGAGCTCCACACCTGGACAGGATGTACACTCCTTCATCATCATCATCGTCAGCATCATCATCACCATCATCATCATCATGTGTCTGTGTGTGTACCTGTGTTCTCCAGCTCTCGGCCTCTGCTGTCTGAACAGAAACAGTACGAGGAAACCATCGGGAACAACTTCCTGAAACTGCTGAATGTCTCAAAGGCTTCTGGGAGCCCGACACACACACACACACACACACACACACACACACACACACACACACACACACACACACAGGTGAGTGTACCTACTGCAGACAGACAGGTGAGTGTACCTGTGACAGACAGACAGGTGAGTGTACCTGTTGAGGGCGTGCAGCAGGTCCAGCTCTGTCCTGTCCGTCATGTTGATGAATTTACACTGAACAGGGAGGAAGCCTCCGTCGGCTGCACACTGAGGAGGGGAGGGAGATCCGGAGTCGTGGAGGAGCCGCCTCCCCCTCACCTCACAGCTGCCAGGACCTGCAGGTCAAAGGTCACACAGAAGAGGGCGGAGACAACAGTTACTGGTGAGTCCTGAACTAGAGACCAATGGGAGGTTTCAGGTGTCAGTGTCTCGTACAGCGCTGAGGTCTCCCGGTCTGTCGCGTCCCGTACAGCTCCATGCCGTCCTGATCCACACACCAACACTGCCCCCTGCTGGACGCGCACTGCACCGCCTCAAACACACCTGAAGGAGAACACCGCAGCACCGACTGCAGCTGGCAGGGAGACGCACCTGCAGACAGGTAGATTGGGGGGGGGGGGCAGTAGACAGTAGACAGAGAGAGATAATCTCATGACCCCGCCCACTTCTAAAACCAAACTTTTGTCATTTTCGAACTTAATAAATGATCTTGATATTATTATTATTACCAACTATTATTTTCATTATCAATAAAATGAAATAAACAGATAATGATGACATCATCAAATGACATCACAATAACCTACAGGACCGAGCGACGTCAGGCGCAGAGCTGTTGGTTCGAGTCCCGACGACCTCTTGACCTTCAGCATCAACACACCAACACTCCTGACCCCGCCCACTACACTGCACAGGTCTACACACACACACACACACACACACACACACACACACACACACTTTATATTCAATTTACAGTTCAGTGAGTAAATAAAAATATAAAAGACGTTGATGCTAAACACTGAACACAGTCTCATCTCATTAACATATAATCTGTCATCAGACAAGTGAGGTGAGGTCAGAGGTCAGCCTGATTATGACTCATGAGGTCTGTTAATGACCACCTGTGTGGTGGGTCACATGACACATCTGAAGAGGAAGAGTAGAGTCATCATCACCAGCTGATCATGTTCTCAGACTCTGAATAAAGACACACACCTGAACCTGCCATCCTCTGAACAGTGAGGGATGACACTTTGTTGCTTGGCAGCAGCCGCTCCCCTCAGCAGCTCACATTGGCTCAGGGTCTCTGACTCCAGCTGATACTCTAGACAACATCATTAGCAAACAATGACATCATCAACAAACAGTGACATCATCAGTAAACAACAGCAGAGAATAAAGACAGAGAGAATACATAAATAGTAAATAATGACATCATCAGCTACACATGATGACCTCATCATCAGCTGAGGAGCTGCTGATTTGAATCTGTTGCTATCGCTCAAATATCCTGACGTCTTTAACACGACAGCAGGTCTACACGAGATCCGCCTCGGGATCCGAGTCGGACCGGGTCCACGCTCTGCTCAGTCTGATGAGGCGGGTCGGGACCTGAGTGGATCAGGTGTTTTAAAGAATCTGTGCATTAATAAACAAATGCTGTTTCCTCCTGTTGGTTTGATAAAACTACAGCGATCAGCTGTTTGAGGAGTGAGACTCAACAGTCGTGAGTGTTCTTACAGATCTTTCTTCAAGAGGAACCAATGAGCCGAGAGCCACAGACAGGAGGGAAGAGTTGAGAGACTGACTTTAGAAAAATGAGGAACATCAAACTTATTCAAATGAGACAGAACAGACACAGATGAAGACAGGTGGCAGAGACACAGACAGACAGGTAGGTCCAGGTGTGTTTACCTGAAGCTTTGCCCTGCAGCAGCTCCGGGCAGCAGACCAGGATGCAGGTGATGCCGAGCAGCCAAGCCATCGTCTCCGCGGTGACAGACTGAGCATCTCTGCCTCGTTATAAACCTGCAGACCTGCTGAGTCACCGTGAGGAGGACCCACCAAACAACACACCTTCACCCCTCCTCCCTCCTCTTCCCTGTCCATCATGGTGGAACCAGGAGTCCTTGAACACAACTCAAGAGGTGGACAGTGAGCCGTGAAGCCCTCTGATTGGACGAGAGGATCTCTGAAACACAGATGACGAGGGTCAGTGTTCAGTGTGACGCTGTTATTGTTATTCCAGAGCAGTGAAGCTGTTTCACCTGAGGACCAGGTGCAAACCTTCAACATCTCCATACTGACGTTTAATACATAAAATTCTTACAAAGACACTGTGTGAGGTGAATCAGACCAATGAAACGGCTCCTCGCACCTGAGTCACATCTGAACACATGAACCACAGAACCTCAGAGTCAGACCTTCAGTATCACAGTCACGTCATCATGATCCACTGCAGACAGGAGCTGGTCACAGCTGGACACAGCTGGTCACAGCTGCTGCTGATGAGACAGTCTAGAGTAAATAGAAACAGATACAGGATAGAAATGACAACATTAATGAGCTTCTACAGGATCTTGCTCTCTCGATGTTTGATCCAAACGGGCCCGTGTGTTGGTGTCGGCACGTTTCCACCTGTCAGACCAGCACGAACATTTTCACACAGAATCAGACTTCACTCTTAGATCCAATTTAAAATCAAAGGATAGGACAGACAGAGCCGTCTTATCCTCACTGGTTCATATGACTCATATTCTCTGTGGGTGGGTGACATCACACGTACAGTTTCTGATGAAGACCAGGAGTTGAGGTGACAGAAAATGACGGGATGTGTTTCGACACACAGGAAGTATTTGGACACTTCTTACAGAAATTACTTCTTCAAAAACAAGAGGAAGAAAGAAACAACCACACAGTAAACGCATCGCCTCAGTTTGACGGTCACTCAGTCCTGTAGTTTGATCCGAGGAGTTTAAAGAACAGAACCACCCTCTCTTCACAACATGAAGACGGCCTGGGCCTTTCTGTTGCTGCTGGCTGGTAAGACGTGGACTGAGTCTGTTACTGGTGTTATTTTATATAATCGTACACATTTATTACCATGACAACAGTTACTGGTCACTCACCTGGAGACCCCTCAGTCTGTCTCTAGTCTCTGGATTTAGAGCTGTAACTCATAACTGTTGATTTAATCTGATTCAGTTTCCTGTGATATAAAGAGAAAAAAAGACCAACAGATCAAAACAATAAATCAAATATTAAAACTGTTGCCAAATAAGTTTCAGTTCAGATCAATGAATTGACTTTTTCTTTCTCATATTTATATTTTTGCTGCTTCGAGTTTGTTCACGTCTTTAATCTTCTTTCTCTCTCAGTTCATCTGCTGCAACAACTTTTGTTCATCACGAGTTCAGAACTTTTCAAACATCTCAGACATTTCGAAGCTGAGACTCTGGAGACAGACAGACACTTGTTTTCAGGTCCTTTGCTCCAACGTTCAGCTGTCGTCACTGTGTTGTGTTTGTATCCAGGTGCTGTGGGTCAAAGTGTGAAATATTCACTTCCTGTTTGTGCTGTGAGAGGCTCGACTGTCACCCTCCCCTGCACCTTCACACCAATTAAGGAGATCATCAGAGTCGTCTGGTGCCAGAATCATCTGATTTGTCATGGATCCACTCCGTCTGTGTACGACAGTGATTCAAAGACCAACAAACCCCCCGACCCTCGCTACAGATACCTGGGAGACAAGACGGGAAACTGCACTTTACAGATCAGTAATCTACAGGAGAGAGACAAGGCAACGTTTCGCTTCAGAATGGAGGCTAAAGAAGCAGCAGGACATCATACTGGACAAAGTGGAGTGAATGTCACAGTTGTTGGTAAGAGCTCCATGTGAAATACTAACAACGACCATGGTCAAAGTATTTCTTCCAGTAGTTGTTATTGTGCAACAAGCTTCAGATTATGTAACAGGGCAGGATGATAAAGATCAGACAGATGCTCCAACAGGTTTACACCAGATAAAAACAGGAAGACAAAGAACGTGGAAACACAATCTACATATTACATACATACTACATATCTACTTCAATAAGGAAATAAAACTGCTCAGTGTTTACAAAAGGCAGAAATTTGACACATTTCAAAATGTGTATTTAAATTCAAACAGAGCAGCCAATGAGTGGTGATTTTAAAAGTTCAAATAAAGACATTTATAATTAAGTAACGTTATAACATTCATTTCAGACGGTTCTCCGATGAGAATAACGAGCTCCAGTGAGAGAGAGGTGAGAGAGGGTCAGAACGTCACACTGCTCTGCACCTCAACCTGCACCTTCCACCAGCTGCAGGTCACCTGGTTCAGAGGTGACCACCTCCTCCCAGGGTCTGGCCCCGCCCTCAGGTTCAGCCCTCTGACCGCAGAGGATTCTGGGAACTACACCTGTGGTTTGAAGGCCAACTGGGGGACACGCTCGGTGGCGTACGTGCTGCAGGTGGAGGCTGCAGACGGAGGTTTGTCTCTTCCATCTGCTTCCCTGTTCAAACACTGACCAACCTCAGCAGGTACTTCCTGTTAGCGGCAAACCCCGTGTCTCATGACGATCCTCTTCACAGGACCCACACTGGACTACCTGACGATTGTCCGTCTGCTGCTGGTCACTGCACTCACGGTGCTCATCATCATAGTGGCGTCCATCGTCATCAAAAGGTCATTTCTACCCACAAGAAGCAAACACAAATCATTCTGTAACAACACAATCAGCTTCACTTAAATAGAGTTGAGATCAAAGGTCCATGTTCCTCATTTTATTTTATTATTTTACAATTCAGGCTCAAACATTTCACTCCAGTTTCAGTCGATCAAAACACTCCACATCTTTCAGTCATCAGTAAAGTACGAGAACATTTCAGTTTAGTTTAGTCAAGAGCAGGAATATACTTTTTAAACCACATTTCATGAAAATATGAAAATAATCCTCCATGTTGGCGTCATGTTCTCTTCCCATCACCGTGAACTGTCTGAGCTCCTCCTGCTGCAGCGTTCAGGTGCACACGCTGCTGCGGTGCGTTCATGGTGTGTGGAAGACAATATGGGAAAACAGGAAGAGAAATACACCACGCAACATCCAGCGTAGAAAGACATTTGGGATTATGTCATTGCCTGAAAAAGCAGTCCATGTTATTAAATGTAATATATGTGTCGTCACAAATTTCATTAAGGGAATTACAACACAGCTTCGCCTCTGTCCAGTGTGGACTGGAAAGGTTTATAACAGGGAATACAGAGGTCATCAGACTCACTCAGGCTTTGTTCAGATGTGAAGGAGCATGTGAGGAGGAAGCATTTCAGATTATGAAGCTACAACTGTTCTTCTTGCTGTCTGTGCAGGACGTGTGTTTGCAGGAGGGCAGAGCAGCAGAGAGACGAGTGATGATGCAGGTGAGTCACTGAAAGGTTCCTGATGACAGACAGGTTGGTAACTAGTGGTACAGGTTAGTCTGGAGGACCTAGAGAGAAAGTGGTGGAGGTTTGAAAACTATAGATTAAACTCTAGTTGAACCAAACAGATAAAACTGTAGATGTGTGTCTGCAGCCAAGAGCTGGATTTAAAGACAGTTTAAAGGATTTATTTTGAATAAATTACACATAATGATGATGCACTTGTAAGTGGTGCAGGGTTTATTATTCTTGACCTGTTTCGCACATTTACATTTATATTTATACTTACATTCACTCATCCGACAGACGCTTTAATCCACAGAGATTTACAGTGAGGAACATCAGTAAAGATCTTAGTCCTGACACCAAGGTCTCTCCTGCTCTGACACTTCAGTGATGAACCTCACTGTGAGTCGCTGTGGATTAAATCACCTGACAGGTGAGTGAATGTAAATGTAAATCAAAAACGACGAGGATTCAGGCACATTTTGAATTTAATAACTTAATAATTAACTTCACAAGATGAAGGTGAAGTATTCTGTCAACACCTGGCAGCTCATCAGCTACAGACCAACATTAGTGGAGCTCCAGCACTTAGAAACAAGAGCAGCTGACCCCCTCACTCCATGGAGCTTTACATCTCTTTCCCCAGTACGAACACATGGAGACGCACACCGACCTCTGCTTGTGAGGTTGGTCAGTAAATTACAGGTTCATTGTTTCACACAGGAAGGACAAGATGACTTCTATAAATATGCTCCGTACTCTCACACTCCCTCCTCTGCTCTGTTCTGTTGGTCAGACGATGATCGTCATCAAGACCAGTTTTCCTCACTGTCCGTTACAGACAGACTGTGACAGACTCTTCCTCCTACAGTCTGACTGCTGCTCAACATCAGCTGTCACCCACTGTGGGTTTCGGCTGCTTCTCTTTTTCTCCTGTTGATCTCATCTGTGCGGTTTGATCTCTGCTTCCTGTTTCAGCCTCCAGACGTCAGGAGGAGCCCTGATGCCCCGAGGAACGAGGCCGGACTGTCTGACATCACTGATATCATCTCTAATATATCTGCTCTAAAGCTGATTGGTGGTGACTGTTTCCTGTATTGAGCTGATGTGATGTACCAGACATCAAACATATGTTCAGTTTGTTGTGTGTGTCAGCAGCTGGTGACTGAATATTGTAATTCAGTCAAATGTTTTCTGTTTCACTTCAGTTAGTAGAAATACTATGAATTCTTGGATCTGAATGTTTACTCATAAGGATATCAATATTTTTTAAAAGGCAGTGAAATCAACATGTTTGTGTTTTCAGAAATACAATAAAGATTTCAACAGTTACTGGAGTCTGACTTGTTAATCCAGTCCAGCTCTGACGAGTGTCAAATCAGAAGTGGTAGTTTTTAAACTAGACCTGGTCTGGATGGAGAATATACAGTGACATCTCTGAATAAAATGCAGGTTTCACAGACCTGAAAGTGTTAAGGCTTTAACGAGGATGTGTAACACACTTTCACCACCATCAACGGTGCAGCAACAAGAATCTGTCTCTTTTCTGCTGAAGGTTCAAACTGAGTGACATGAGCTGAAGTATCTGAGCAGCAGCCATGATGAGAGCTGGTCCACCTCTCTAAGAGCTGAGGAAAGGACCTTCAGTGCTTCCTATCTTATCTCCTTTAGAAATACTGTAAATACTGTAACAGAGCACCTGTGTTTTGTTTTGCTAAACTTGCTATAATTCATTTGGTTTCAAATCATCTTCACCTGCTTCTCCTCGGCGGACTCCATGATTGAGTACCTGAGTGCAATACCACCTGTGACCACACAGACTGACAGTTACCAGCCGCTACAACCCACAGGGGCGCTGTTTCACGTTCATTTCCGGCGTCATTAATTAATTATTAAAACATAATTATTAAAACATTTCATAATAATCTTTTAGCCTTTTAGCTTATTACAGTGGCATATGGTGACTTTTACTGATAGGCAAGCAGAGCTGAGACGACCCCCCCCCCCCACTCAGTGTATGTTTCATCTGATTACTACATCAAAGATATGGACCAGCCTGTATTTATCCAGTAAACCTCTGAAACTCAGACCTGAAAGTCTCTCTCCTCCACCTTGTTACTCTGTCTGAACGTCTTCACCTTCCTCCGTCCGGTCTGAACAAGTTTAAGGATTGTTCTTCTGAACTGACAGTGAACTTATCAAATCTAATTCACTTCTATCTAAAATATTTACCATTACCTGACAACGACACGGTGACAATGTAGCTCAGAGGAGACGCAGGAACTTCGGTCTTGAGGAGTCGCAGCTTTTCTTACTGACAAACAGCCCAAAGTTCACAAACCGCGCTGCAGTTCACAGCTACACTGCTAAATGCTAACTGGCTAGCTAACTCTGCTGAGGTCTCAAACATCACTGCTCTCTCTCTCTCTCTCTCTCTCTACGCACACAACTTACGTACCGATCTGTTCCTGAAAGCAGCTGCTCCACTCCTGTAACAATATTCTGTCTCTAATTTACAGCAGATCTCACAAAGAGACGATAAATCAGCGTCATTAGCTCGTTTACCTACTGCTGCGTCTTAACCTTAATGCGGAAGTTTAGTTTACACGCACACATACGTCTGCGCATGCGTGTAATACTGCACCGTCATAACGGGAGAAGCTGAGACACGGGCAGCTTGTTAGTTGCCCGTCAAAGATGTCCACGATGTTTGATCTACATTTATGAAATTGTGTACAATAAAGAAAGCGAAAAAAGATCCCAGGATTGTCCCTAGTGCGCATGTGCAACCCCCCCACAATAAAAACATGCATTAATTTGCACTTCTAATGACGTCATTTCAAATTTACCAGTACTTTCTAGATCCTCACAGTGAACTGTCCTTTTCCTGCAGACTCAAGTCTCCTGCTGTTGTCTCATATCTCAAAAATAAAGTTATTCAACAATTAATTAAAAAACAGCAGATTTATTTCTTGAAAATGTATTTATTACATGACAGAATATTCACTGATCATAGACAGAGTGAGCCTCACTGCACCTTCATACAGTCTTTGTTACAGAAGAGAGTGAACATGAATCATGTTGATATAAAACAGATTTCTGGATTATCAGACAGACATGAATAATTAAATATGATTTTCAGTGATTCATTAGACATTTTACAACTGTCATGTTTTCACTTTTATAAATGTCAAATGTAAAAACGAGTCAAAGGCAGATTCCTGTCTCCGGTCTGAACCAGTTTCCCGCCAGACAACAAAACAAATGTCAATTACTCATATGTCCAAATCATGACATGACTTCTCATAATTATGTCAGTTACATGATTCCTCTCATGGCTTTTGCTTGGTCATATATGGATGTGTTAGTTTTTAGTTATCAGATTTAATTTCTCACAACAGCATCATCATCATCATCAGTAGAAACTTGTTAGTTTTGACGTCAAAATTTCGTCTTTGTCTCATGAAATTCTGGAAATTGAACACAATGAAAAAACAGAGAAAGAAGAAATGATTCGACTAAACAAAGGAATGTAGAAAAAAGCGTCATCTTTAAACATCTAGAAACATGACACGTGCAGCAGGAACAGGTGGAACTGTGTTGTGTTTGGTTTGAACTTGCAGTCCGCTTTATTTTCTGGGCATAAATGTTAAAATAAGAACAAAAATCATCTTTTAAACAGCATCATTGTGACTAAAGCCACTCTGTGTGTGTGTGTGTGTGTGTGTGTGTGTGTGTGTGTGTGTGTGTGTGTGTGTGTGTGTGGAGGTTGATTAGAGTTTTAACTGACAATTAAAAATATTAAAGGAATATTTCACCTAAGCATGATGTTGTTTTGATCCCTAAACCCACATCTGGGAGGAAAACGACGACAGAGAAGCACAAAGACAAAAAACAACTACAACTACCAACAACCACAAAGAGGCACAAATGGCAGCTAATTCATTGTCAATAAAGTTTTGTTTTGTCTTTATTCAACGAAAAAAATCCATAAAAACTCTCTCCCTGCTGCGCAGCTGGCAGCTTCTCTCAGGACGTCATAAACACACTAATTCAGACGAATCTTTTCTTTTTCTATCCTGAACTCTTTCTTCTGAGTCAGTGATCAACGAGCAACAATCATTACATACAGTGACAGTAAGATATGATATCATATGATGAATATTTATATCTGACAAAACAGCATCATTTCCTTCATAAACATTCATCTTAAAAATTAAAGTGATGAAGACGAGCGTTAAATTGGTGGAACAGGAAGCAGTGTGGTGAAGAACTAAAGGATGTGAACCATTGAAGTGGAAAAAACCCGAAGAAAAAAATAATTAAGGTGTTCTCTTCACAATCGTAAAAGTTGAATATAAAACAATATTTAAAAAACACACACAGAACCTTTTAGAAATGAAGACGAGGCTGAGCAGACACATGAAGAGCTGGACGCCACCTCGCCGCCATTTCACCACAGGAAGAAAAACAAAGTGTTGTTGGGGGATTTTTCCTTTAAAGTGATGGAATGACAAAGTGATTGTTCCACAGGGAGGTCAGAGGTCAGGTAGAGAGACAGGTGGACGTTCAGGTAGGACACTGAGGGACTGATCAGGAGGCGTCACTTCATGGTGCATTTGGTGGAGGATCATGGGAAACTGTTCGGTGCGTTTGGGGTCTGAAGGAAGAAACTCGCTCCACTAATACAGCTGCTGTGCTCCAGATGTTCTGACTCATCTGTGACTGAACTGATTGATCAGGTGTGGACGAGGATCTGCAGCACATGTCGACAGAAAGACGAAGACGTGGAAACACGACCTGCAGCTGCTCATTAAAACTCTTATTATGACCATGTGCTGCAGATCTCACCTGTCCAGGTCCCGCCTGTTTGTTTCAATCAGTTTGAACTTTATTGACATTTACAATCTGCCACCTGTGGAACATCTGTCTGATCCCGTACAGGTTGGTCAGAGAACAGCAGGATCATGTGACAGAGAAAACCTCCTGTGCTCAGCGTCACTCACTGCTGCTTTAATTCAGATTCATTAGTCAAAACATTCCTCATCAGGTTCACTGGATGAAGGTCGGATGAAAGACAAACGATGGTCAGTCTGGTTAATTAATTAAGCTTGAAAACAAACATGATGCATGATTACCTTCCTGTTTCAGATGACTCTGTCTGTCTGGATCTATGACTCAACAGTGAGTGAAGATGAGGAGCATCACACAGCTCCCTCTGCTGGACACTCCAAACCATCACACCTTCAGGAAAAGACCAAACCATCTGAAATAGAACTGCTTGTTTCGACCGTTCACCTTCTTCAACAACAAACAACAAGCAACACTAATCTGTGCTGATAAAGACGTGCTGCTGCTGCTGCTGTTTGGGGAACGTTCGAGTTTAAACTTTTTAGATTTTTTCTTCTGATTGTTACATCTGAAATATTTTGTGTCTCAGGACGAAAAAAAAAAATATAGAGAAAAATATTTTACTAATTATTTTTTTGGGACAAAAATGTGTCTTTTCTTACGAATGCCACTGATCATTTGTCATCTTGATTCATCCTTTGACCTCCGCTGACCTGAACCACCTGACCACCACGAAAAACTGCTCGTCTTAATTTCATCGGTCGATTATTTTGGGAGATTTATGAAAAAGTATTGATTTGATTTTCATTGTCAATTTATACAAAATGTGTCAGTAAATTCATGATTTTAAAAAAACAGAGTAGAGAACAGTAAAGACAGGTCCATGTGTCCAGCTCTAACTCACTGTAACGTTTCAATCAAGAGATGGTTTAGTGGTTCGATGGTTTTAGTGTCTGTTCTTCCTTAAAAACCTCATTTTAAATCTTTAAAAAAACAGGAAAAACATCTGGATCGTTCCCGCCTCAGTATTTTTCCATCAATGCACCTGCTGGTGTTAAAAAGCCACGCTGAGCGACTCTGATTGATTCAATATAGGCAGATTGAGGTGAACGACAATTAAAAACAGGATTTAAATGACTTAAAAAATGGACATCAGGTCAACAACCTGCCGTTGAAGCTCCGCCTCCTGTCGTCACGTTAAAGGAATAGTGCATAAAATAACCTCTGACCTCTGAGCACAGCGCACCCATGTGAACGGAGAAACAGACTTATGATGCCACGTTGATCGGCGGGTTGAGTTTCTCCGCCTCAGGTTGAGCCACCATCGCTGCGGGGCCGCCGTTACTGGACTCCTGCTTCCCGCCTTTCTTCAGCGGAAACCCGCAGGTCTTAATAAACAAGACGATGTCAATGACAAACGCCGCCATTGCCAGGAAACCAAACGCCTGGAGGAGGATTAAAAAAAAAGGTCGGGAAGGTGACTTCAATGTAGAGATTCTCAAGTAGGAAAGGAAAGGAGGAGGCAGTGAAGGAAAAGATGAGGTAACAAAGTAAAGAAAGGAGTCAGAGGAGGAAATGATGAGGTATAAGGAAAGAAAAAGGTTGTAAGGAAGGAAAAAAGATGAGGAAGGACAGGACAAGGACGTAGAAAAGGAAAAGAGGTGGCAGAGAAGGAAACAAGAGGTAGGAAGGGAAAGAACGGGGTGGGAAAGAAAAAAGATTAAGGTAGAGAAGGAAAATGGAGGGGAAAAAGGAGTTAAGAAAAAGGGAGGACATAAGGAAGGAAAGAAGCCGGTAGAGGAGGAAAGGAGGAGGCCAAGAAGGAAAGGTAGGAGAGGAAAGGAAGAAAGGAGGCAGTAAAGGAAAGGAAGAGGAGGGCCTTACCACAGCACTCTTCTCCAGGTCCGTGCCGCTGTTTTGTGCAGCAAAAGCGATGGAGGAGATGCAGAAGAACAGGGCGATGGCGCAAGTGTAGATGAAGTCCTGCAGGAGAGAAGAAGAAGAAGATCAGCAGCTGAGGACTGACTCGTGTTCGCTGAGTGGAAACAACCCGTCACACCTCAGAGGAAACGCTCACATGCAGGGAAACAGGATTAGTTTCCTTCTCTCTGAGATTCACATGAGAAACTCTGAACCACTCTCTGTGTGTAACACCAGTAGAGATGATAACTGGTCCACACGTGTTCCTCATGTTCCCAGTTCAGTCTCCTCTGCGTCTCCAACACACGACAGGCATCAGCAAAGAAAAAAAGACTGATGATCAACAAACATGGTGGACAGCAGAGAAATATTTTAAGTCCTACAACGCGTTGGCTCAGCTGTGTTATTAATGGTAGTCAGAGTCTTAAATTCTGCTCGTACTCTCAGACCTCTTCTTATATTTATTCTAATTGATTGTGTATTTTTGTATTTTGTGCCTTGCTCTTGCATTTTATCTTTCACTGCGTGTTGTCCTTGAGTGTCTTTAAAGGTGCCTATAAATAAAATGTATTATTATTACTGTTATTTATTTAATATCAAGATTTATCTTTCATTACAGAAAACAGCTGGAATTTGTTTTGTTACAGCACCAAAAGAAATAAAAACTTTTCTTATTTTTATTTATGTAGGTACATAGCTAACAGGAAGTCAGAGTAATCCAATAAATCCTTCTGCATTAAGGTTTTACTGCTTTGCCTATTTAATTATTTATTTTCTATCTCTCTATCTCTGCAGTTACCTGTTGCTACCACTTGGTGGCGGTGATGCGCCATGTCGTTGTTTACCTAAAATAGTGTAGTAGAAGAAGAACTTCTACTTCCGTGCTCTGTGGTGTCAACATTAAACCGTCTAACCGCCACGGTCGTGAATTAACGGTCGCTGCTGTGACGTTTCACCGACCGTCGGACAGACACTATGCCGTGGAGGTGCTGTGTTCCCGGGTGTAAAGGCTACGATGAGGCCAAGTCCATGGGCGTCGTGTTTCACGGGTTACCGACCAGAGACCCGCAGCGCTGCAGAACATGGCTGACGGCGATAAGGAACCCCAGGTACGACGAGAACACACCTGTGTCCAAGTACAGCGGGGTCCGGGTGTGCAGCCTGCACTTCACCCCCGACGACTACGAGGAGGACTTCCGGGCGAAAATACTCAACGTCACGCCCAAGCCGATGCTGAAGAGCGGCGCCGTGCCGTCAGTGTTCCCCGGGAGAGGGCAGGGGGAGCCCGGCGGAGCAGACCCATCTCCCCCGGCTCCAAAGAGAAGCAGAACCCGGGTAAATGTTTCAGTCCGTCAGGTCCCGGTGTCTTTATCCTTCCGTTTGTGTCACGGTAACGTTTTTAATCAATATAATATATATCTATAATATAATATAATTTAATAATAAACGTGACTCGCTGACTGAACACAGGGCCGGACCCCGGGGAACCTCAGACAGGGGCCCCGGACCCGGATCCACCCGCTTCATTAATAAAACCTTCTGCTGATGAACGGACCGAATCTGACCCGGATGAAATGTCAGTCTGCTTCAATAAGTGGAGAGGGCTGCAGCTAACTGTTGTTTTCATTATTGATTAATCAGCTGATTGTTCATTAATTACAATTTTCTTAACAAGCTAATGTCATCATTAAATATTTATGTTTTTAGTGATCTTTAACAAACACATCATCAACACATCATGGCTGACAGTCAAGTGGTTAGTTCAAGTGTCTGTGATAACCGTAGGACAGAGGGGACGGAGTTCAGAGTTACATCAATCGATCTACATGTGATTTCAACAACACAGCGTCACATGACTCCGTGTTGAGGACGTCTGTTCCTCGGCTGATTGTTCAGTTATTAATGTTTTTATCTCTGGAACAGAAGCAGGAAGTTGAGTTTCCCTCTCCAGATGTGACAGATGTGACCCTGGTTCATCAAAGTGTCTGTTCTCTGTTGATCTCTCCTCAGCCGACCTGTGGAGCAGCGGCCGGCTCGTCACAGTCGCCTCCAGCCGCCGCCTCAGAGGACAGCTTCTGCATCGTGGTGTCGGTCGACCCGCTGGACGACAGCAGCTTCCACTCAGAGCCAGAGTGCGACGAGTCCGATGAGTCCGACGAGGACCCCGACAAAGACTGCACCATCGTTTACAACCACAACCTGATGGAGTTGTTCAGGATGTGTCAGACTTGTGGGCAGCCCATCGTGGAGAAGGAGGTTTTCCACTCGGGGGCTCAGATGAGGGTGAAGTGGAGCTGTCATGGCGGACACTCTGGAACGTGGAAGTCCTCGCCTCGTCTGAGAGACGTGCCGCCGTAAAATCCACCCACCCGCTCACTCCCTCACTGAGTGCTGCTGGACGGACACTCAGAGTGGGAGGAGGGTTAAAGACACGGGACAAGAGCGTTCTCATGGGGGGGGGGGTCAGCTACCAGCTGGAGGACATGTTGAACCACCAGGGTTCACACTGCCACTGAACCTTCATGTGACACCCAACTGCTGCAGGTCAGTGGTCTGATGAGAAGTGACTGCATCAATAAGGCAACTGACTGGGGCCCTCACCTACCGGGGGCCCTAACCTACCGGGGGCCCTCACAGCTCCAGGTTCCGTTATGATGTTTACATTAAAAGATGTATAATGATGTCACTATTGTAACTCGAATAAACCTGCAGTAATTGACTAAATACCCTGGTGCTTCTTTATCGGTGTTCATAACTTCCTGTTTAGCTGCTGCAGCGTCACATTAGAGACCCAGGCCCGATCCCAACGCCCCCCCTGCTGATCAGATCTGATCCAGTTTGGATATTTAATATTCCTCATCATGTGATCACAGGACGGATAATTCCACAGTTCTGGCTCTGAATCACAGTGACTGTTTATACTGTCTGTTTTCTTCTAATGCTAACGTTAGCGTAAGCCCCTTTCATGCAAGTTTGTTAAGTCACAACGCTATGAACTTTGGGTAATTCCGAAGTCACTGGGCCCGGTCAGAGTCAGACAGATCTGTAGCTGCTGGGACGTGGACTTGAACTTCCTCTGAGATCCAGTATTACATACCAGCGTCACATCTGGCACACAGCAGGTCGGTGTGACATGGTTTCTATGACAACAGGACTAACTGACAGGCTACAACCACACTGAGTGTCCGCAGAGTCTCTAGGAGGTTTTAGCAGACAGCTCCGTCCACACAGTCAAACACCTGGACAACATGAAGACAGCCGACTCTTCTTCTCTGTCCTATTTTCAGTTCAACAACAAAACTATCACAGCAACATCTGGCGAGGAGTGACAGACAGCTGTTTGATGAACAACAAGTCTCAGGCTCCTGCTCCGTCACCTCAGTGTTTAATGCAGCTCAGTTCAGCTCCGCCCTCTCTCTGCTCTCAGACTCTGACACATGTTCACCAGCTGCTGCTGAGGAATCACTGATAGAACAACATCAACATCAACCAGGTGGAAGACAAAGGCACTGGAATATCAACGACTGATCAGCTCAGATCAGCAGGTTCATTGCGCACGCACGCACACACGCACACACGCACGCACATCAACAGTCTGGAGAGTTTTGGAGAGGCTCAGTTTTCGAGCTGAAACTCACTCAGACAAAAAGACTTCAAGCTCCAATGATCTGAATCCAGAACAGAACAAACACCACAGAAGAAGACAAACGACATTCACTTGCTTTACTGTCGCATGTAAATGTCTGTGAAACTGCAGCTCATGTGTTTGCACAGAAGAAGAAGTGCTCAGTCCTCCTGAGCCTCCCTCATCCAGCTGAAACCAAAGAAGAAGAAGCACAGCAACAACACAAGGGTCTGTTTAACTGTGCCGTTTTGTTTATTTACATTCATCAGCTGTTTTAAAGAAGTGTTTTTGGGAACATGTAACATTACTGCAATGAGGACTGAACATCTGAGGTTCCCATTTAACGTCATCATCATGTTTTTTAATCATGACTCACTCTTCAGTTAAAGAGCAAAAGCATCTGTAACTCAACAAACTGAGAATATTTACTGTTTACAGGAGGCAGACTTATTGTCTTTAGTCTCTACCTGGCTCCATGTAGACACTCATTAACATGATCATGTGACCAGCTGATTCAGCTCTGATCAGCACTGATCAGCTGGTGGAGGAGGTGTGGAGGAGGAGGAGGAGGTGTGGAGGAGGTGTAGTCTCTACTAAAGCAGGACCTTACCAGGCTGGACCAGCAGGTGATGCCCACCCTGCTGTGCAGGCTGGTGGAGAGGAGGATGAGGAGCAGCAGGGTGAAGAGGAAGGCGGTGCAGCTGACAAACTCAAAGAAGTAGAGGGCGGAGCAGCTGATGCAGCTGTTGACCACCTCCTCCAGGATGAAGGCCACGAAGGAGAGCAGCTGACGGAGAGAGAGAACAGGAGGTTACAGAAGCTCGCTCCGACTCTGATGATGTCACAGAAGAAGAGAAGACACTCCGTCATCATCGGTCGTTTATCTTCATATTGATCACACAGCTGCCACTAATAATCACTGATCAGCTGATTCTTTTATCAGATAATCAATCGGCCAGAAAACTGAAAACGTCCGTTCCAGTTTAAAAATCACATGAGAAAGAAAAAGCTGCAAATCTTCTCCTCTGGAGAAATGTAAGATTAAAAAAATAAAGGATTTAACAACAATAATAACAATAACAATAATACTAATAATAATAACAACAATAATAATGACAATAATAAAATGTGTTGCTGCTGCAGAACAACAGTGACTGACACATTAAACCAGAAGAAAAAAAAGCTGCTGACTCTGTTTAAGTGAAGAGAAGTAACTGTTGTGGTAGAACCGCTCCGACCTCTCTCTCTCTCTGTGTGTGTGTGTGTGTGTGTGTGTGTGTGTGTGCGCGCGCGCGCGCGTGTGTGCGCGCGCGCGCGCGGGAGGGCGGCGGCTGCTTCCCAAAACACACACACACACACCATGTGGGCGTCCTGGGCGTGTGTGAACCACAGTGAGTCCACAGGAAGTGGAAGGAGGACGCCGTCAGCTCCGTCCTGCTGCAGAGACGCCACTTTGGGACGAACCACACAAGAGCGTCTGACTGACAGATTCACTTTACAAATCAAGAGTCAGTTTCACAGTTAATCAGCGTTTTCCTCGTCAATATTTCGTTAATTATAAAGTGTCAGTTTGGGCTCCAGCTACATCAGTAAATGCTGTTTACATTAATGCAGAGAAATAATAACAATCTGATGATATAACAGAGTAACAGAGGACGTTTCCAGGGAACGACTGAGATGGTTTTTAGGGCTGATACCGATTATTGATAACTGATACTTGGAACCGATATACCAACAAATAACTACTGCTGTATTAGGTCACTCACCATGACTCCAGGTGTTTCTATTATTTATTTAGTTTTTTATTTATTTATCCATTTATATTTAATGTCACACAGCTCCACACACATCCTCCACAATGATCAACATCTGTCTGAAACTGTTTTAATACGAACTGAAGATTAAAACCTCATGAAGGAGGATTTACTGCAGGACTGTATGAGACTGCATCAGTTAACGTTCCTAATAAACTGATCACTGAGTGAATATTATCAGGTGTGATCACAGGCTGTAAAGAGCCTGACTGGAGTGAACTGGTTGATTCCGGAGCTGTTCTCACCTGTGACCTGAAGATGCTCTTTGATTCAATAGTTGTATTATGTATTAATATAAACATCATCATCATTATATTATGACCCCTCCCCTTTTAAAATGTAGCGCAGGAACACGTTTACTCACGGACATTTTATTTCATCAGTTATCGTTAAAAGAACTTCACGATACTGATCATCGGTTGATGCCTCATGTTCCTGTGTTTATACTTTTATTTTGAATCGTTTCATCTCTCGCCTCAGCTCAGGGCGGTCTGATGAATGTTCCCATCATGCCGTTCACCTGATGCTTCCGTATGAAGGTTTTAAACATGAAAACTTCATCGTGGCACATTCTTCTTCTGAGCCGGTCCGGCCCACTTCTTATTTAGTTTTTCTGTGTCAGCTTTAAATCCAGATGTTTGCCAACAGCTGTCAAAAACAGAGTGCCACAGAGACTCTCTCTCTTTTTAAACGACAATGAACCAGACGGTGAATGCATCATAAAAGCGACTGAAACCCTCTGAAGTCACAGAGTCAGTTCATGTATGACTGATCTATAAATACAGACTGCTGCAGCTCGTGTGTCGGACGGAGAACATGAGTGAACCAGCCCAGACCCAGTTCCCATCAATCCACTGGGTTTATTGGAGGAACACTGTGGCCGGCTGGAGGTCGGGTTATAAACAGTCTGAGACCAACCCTGAACCACAGAGTTAAAATCAGACCTGATGTCAGCTCAGTCTCTCCCCTGTGGGGGCAGGGCTGTGGAGCAAGGCATCATCGCTGCCACGGCTCAGGGTTTGATTCCTCAGAGGAGGACCTCAGCTCATGATCATCTTTTAACAATCAATCTACACATTGATTTTACATTCATCATTTCACTTCTACAGCAACTCGACTGAAACTACATGCTCAGTGTTTAAAACACTAAAGAGACTTCAGAGGGGGAGGAGGAGGAGAAGAAGAAGAAGAAGAAGAAGAAGAAGAAGAAGAAGAAGAAGAAGAAGAAGAAGAAGAAGAAGAAGAAGAAGAAGAAGAAGAAGAAGAAGAAGAAGAAGAAGAAGAAGAAGAAGAAGAAGAAGAAGAAGAAGAAGAAGAAGAAGAAGAAGAAGAAGAAGAAGAGTTCTCTCTCTCAGCAGGTCGACAGTTACAGAGACGAGGTTGAAAACCTCTGCAGTGGTTTAAACCTCCAGTCACACGTTAGATTAAAAACAGGTGGACAGTCCAGAAACCATGGGTCCTACATGTCCCATAATGCAACTGGACAAAAGTGGCTTTTGTACTTGTGTTGACCTGTCTGGGCCACTGTATATGTCAGACTGGGATCATTTCCAGTGTATGGACCCTGCAGTGCAGTTTAATGACGACACTGTACAAAGTGCTGAACGCTCCTTTATGCTGAGCTGTGGGAACTCGATGGTTCAGACTGATCCTCCGTCAACAGCAACTGCTGCTCTGTGACAAAAAACTTTTATTGGGATGTTTTTTCTTTTTAAAGCAGAAGTTCAACCACATTCAACTAAACAGTTTCTTTCTGTTTCTGCTGCTTCTCAAGATTCACAAGATCGAGATCAGACCAACAACCAGAGGACACACACAAGACCCGGATCTGGATCACTGACAGGACGGAGCAGAGACGCAGGCTGAACGTGTTTCTGTGGTTATCTAACACAGACGTGACCCCACCCCTGAAACTAAACCACCATCCAGAGTGGACCTGAACGTCACACCTGAGCAGCCGCAGTCATTTAAACAGCATCAGCTAGTGGACGTCCGCCTTCACCTCACTGTGATCTCACCAACACACTTCCTGTCCCTGTTTCACAATAAAGGCACTTTAGGGTGAAGACACTGGAATCCTTTATTGTGAAAGCCCTGCAGGAAGTTCAGATTAGCTTTCTACCACACTGCATGTACAGAACGTTCTGTTACAACAAGAACAGATTTTAATCCAACAAGCTGCTGAGCTCCGTGTCTGAACGTGTGTGTCGCAGGTCTGTGGCTGTGACACACATGAAGCTGATGACCAGGAACTGTCGTGCGGACACAGCAGCTGTACAAAACAGCAGTGACCTGCAGCAGGAAGTCTGAGTGTCTCACCTGAGGAGCTTGTCCTCAGGTGAGACACAATAATCATTAAAGGCTCCGTTTCCAGATGAGTCCTAAGACTTTCATTGATCTGGGTCTCTGCTGGTCTCAGATCAGATTATGATCTTTGTGGATCTTTGTGGATCAGAGTTACTAACGACCCATGAACTAATTAACATCACAGCTGTCAGGAGCTTTAATCACTGGTCTTCTTCCTGTTGTGAGTCTGTTGGATCTAATGTTTCACTGATGAGATGAACCGGGCTGGAGATGTGATCCATGTGTAGATCCTCTTTTTGTCAAACACTCTGAGATGGGAGCGGCGTGCTGGGGGCCCCGGGGCCGGATGCAGCCGGCGGCGCCTCAGCTCAGAGTTGCGACAGCGGCTCAGATCTGCTAACGACAGCTCTACTGCCCAACGGTCAGACCTGCAACACTTTCACTTCCAGTCTGCTGCTTCCTGCAGGCTGCTGCAAGAGGAAGGTCCAGTCACACAGAGGTCACACACGCACACACACATTCACACACTCCTGCTGCTCCAAACTCTCACTACAGCACCAAATGTGGATTAATCCGCTGATGAAAATAGTCCCCTACAAATGCTGTGTCCTCCTGTTTGTGATAAGGACTACAGTGAGCAGCTGTTTCTACAACTACTGCTACTGATACTACTACTACTGATACTACTACTATTACTACTGCTACTGCTACTGATACTACTCCTGATATTACGATGAGATGAGATTGTCCCTTATTGGTCCCAGTGTGGAGATATACAGTGTTACAGCAACAAAGTGGATGGAGCAAAAAAGAAACTTCAAGCTGAATGTCAACAATAAATACTAAAAATTAAAAAAGGTAAATAATTTATAATAATAATGTGTAGATAATAATGTAATGTGTACAAATCAGCAAACATAGCAGCAGATGAGGAATATTACACAGCTGGTGTGTGTGAGGTCGTTTACAGCTGCAAAGAGACTTTTCTCATCGTCCATAAATCAGTCAGTTATGTTTTAATTCAGTTTTTCTAAAAAGGAAATGTCAAGAGATGTTCAGTTCACTGAGTCTGTCTGTCTGTCTGTCTGTCTGTCTGTCTGTCTGTCTGTCTGTCTGTCTGTCTGTCTGTCTGTCTGTCTGTCTGTCTGTGTGTCCATGTTTAGTGTTTATGTGAATAACAGTGTCTACTGGAACAACAGGTCCGTTCTTTACTTCAGATCTGACTGAATGAGTTCAGACTCTTTAGAACCGGTGAAGTTCTAGTCTCAGACCAGTTGGTCCAGATACAGCTGTGACGATCCTGAATCCACTAACGAAATTCATTAAGTTCATCTTTCATCATTCGTTAAATGAATCCACATTAACACTAATGAAGCTAATTACTGTTGACACCCTGAAACTGAGCTGAGCAGCAGCCGAAACACTGATTATTGATTGATATTGATTGTTGTGAAATAACAGCTGAAACAAACTGACAAACTACTTGATCCAGAACTCTGAGCTTAACGAGCTCCAGATGTTGATCTGATGAAATACCTGAAAAAACTAGAATCAGCTCCTCGTGTCGTTTCCTCATCGACCAGCGAGTGTCAGGAAACATGATCTCAGTCTCCGAGTCTGAGAAAAGGCTGAACAATGACCAGTGTTTCTGCAGAGCATTATGATGTAACACTGATGTTGACCTTTGACCTTTTGGATAAAAAATGTCATCACGTCATTTCATTCTGTTAGACAGAATGTGTCATAGTTAGTGGATGAATTATTGAGTGTTTTGTGAGGTCAGAGTGACCTGTGACCTTTGACAACCACATTCTAATCAGTTCAACCTTGAGTGAATGTTTGTATTAAATATGAAGAAGTTTCCTCAGACATCACGATGGAAACACGACAGCTCCAGCACAGACGTGACGTCACCAGACCGACAACACCTGAGGACGCCACACACACGAGTCTGCAGCTGAACAGGTGTGTAACCACTAAACTGCATCGTTGTCCACTCTGTGGTCGTCATGGTGACATAGAAACCATGGCATCAACTGACAAACATATCGACAGCTCAGACGGCAGCAGCAAACAGAAACGCATCGTTTCTACTGAGCTCAGATCCAGATCAGCTGAGACCAGGTTCCTACAGGGTCCACCAAAACCAAGGTAACACCACACCCAGCTAACGAGTGACATCACCGATCAATTAATGTAAATGTTTCTGATCTGAGAGTTTAAATGATACACAATGACTAGAAAGACACAACAGAGAGACTCAACAACAACACAACTACAAGATTCAACCGCAAAGAGACAAAGAACCACAAAGAGTCAACACACAAAGAAACAACCGCAAAGAGACAAAGAACCACAAAGAGACAAACAACCGCAAAGAGACAAACAGCCACAAAGAGACAAACAGCCACAAAGAGACAAACAACCACAAAGAGTCAACACACAAAGAAACAACCGCAAAGAGACAAAGAACCACAAAGAGACAAACAACCGCAAAGAGACAAACAACCACAAAGAGACAAACAACCACAAAGAGACGAACAACCACAAACAGACTCAAACTCTGCTAAAAGGTGATTGTTGTTGTTTTGTTGTCAACCTGCTGATGTCCAGGACAGACATGATGTCAGCAGCTCAGGTTCCAGAAATAACACAGTTTCCTTGAACTCACCACTTCACTAACTTTGACCAGGAAGCGGGGTTTGTCCAGATGTTCTGATGGAACCAGGCACAATGAGGATTTGGGGTTCGGAGCCGTCGTCGTGGAGTAAACTTCAGAGGTCATGATGGAGCTGAGAAACAAGAGAGAGAGACTTCAGAGGACATGTTGTAAAATCAGGCTGTTATCAGACGTTAGACAGACACATCCTTTTAGTTTTCCCTCAGAGCAGAGACGTCCTCCACACGGCGTCTTCATCACCGTGTGTTCGTCCTGAGGGAGACAGTCTGTCCAGCTCACAGTTTTGTTGTTGATCAGACTCTGTTTAGAGTCACGTTGTTAGTTCTTAACAACACTTTGATGTTAAACTTAACGAGGAGACAGACGATAACGAGCTGCGGTCGTACTTTCATAAGTTGATTAGTGTTGAGTGTTTGTTTTGACAGCACAGGGACACTGTACATATCACACACCAACGCCACATACCTCAGCATCTACAGCCCGAGCTGCTTCACAACACTCTGATCAGCCTTTACACTACAGCCGCTTTCATTATCAATTAATCTGATGATTATTTCCCTGATGAATCTATGAATTCATTCTTTGGTCTTTAAACTGCAGGAACAACATCCATCACAGTTTGAGAGGTGGAGCTGAGAAGAAATTTGATGATCAGAACAGCTGGTGATTCATTTTCAGGTGATTGATTAATCGTTAACAAAAGACAACGACACAGACTCATTAATGACATTAATGAATTAATTAATGAATAATTAACGACTGATTAGAAAAATGAGTTATAAAGACTGAGGCATCTCATCATGTGTTCACAGGCCTCAGGAGTCTGATCATTTACAGGTCTTTACATATGATTTGATATTAGTGAAAGTAATAACCTGATGAAACTTTGTGTGTGAGCATCTGAGGTGTAAGAGAAGCTGATTCAACAAACATCCAGAAAACACTGAAGTCTCTTTACAAACACGTTTCCTCTTTAATGACGTGATTTTCTTGTTAATAAAAAACCAACACGCTTCATCACTGTGTCATTAAAACATGATGCTGACACAAACCAGGACCTTTGTTATAACACTGGTACATCCCATGATGCCACTGTCCCTACATGTTTACAGAACAAACATGTCTGGATTCACATGAAGCTTCAGCGGAAACTAACACGTCAGAGACAGAAATTACGTTTATTCAACAGAAACATCGACCACAACCACAAACTTTAACCCAGAGGAGCAGAACTGTGTCAGTGTCTGTTTTTATTAATATGCACCCTACAGAAGGTTCAGTTTCCTCATAAAAACTCCAAATAACAACATTACCTGCAGTTTAATCAAAAACATTGTGTTTTCACACGGACACACACCTGTGCTGCTGTTAATCACATCTTCACTGTAAGGTTCAGTGTTTCTGTCTGTGTGACGTTCAGGAACATATTCCCTGAGAGTGAAAGTGAAACTGCGCAGGTACATGTCAAGAACAGGTGTTGCACAGGTGTGACTAATTTATGACTTATTATAACTGACTGATAGCGACTCCATATTGTACCAGATGGAGCTACAAGGCCTTTAGTCATCTAGTGCAATCTCAAAACCAAACCTCGTCCAGAAGTTTAAGAATTATAATAATTCCTGGCTTGAATACAAATACAGTCACAGCGAGGAACATGACTCGAGGCCTGATCCTGAGCGGATGTGTGTCCTGGCGGAGTCGGTACATGGTTAATGAACCGTGGCTGGTTCATTAGAGCGACGTCTCATCTGTAACCGGGCTCTCTAACCGCTGTCCTCCGTCACTGGCTGCTGTTGTGGTGGAAAATGTTGGAGGGGAATCCCGCGGGAGGAAACTATTAAAAGGTGGAGCTTTATTCGAACCAAAGCTTCTGTGTGCGTGAGGTTCATGCCGAAGAGAAGACCGGATGTTTTATTACATATGAAAATATTTTACTCCGACTTTTCCCGCATAAAATGACGCTTTTTTTTTATAGAAGCGACGTTAACTCGTTAATTGACGTATTTCTAAAGGCAGTCTGGCGCGTGACGTTTCCTCCGTCCTGACATGAACTGTTCACGGTGGCCTACAATCTGCTAAACTCTCCCGCTGCGACAGGAAGTCAGTTTCCAGTGATAAAATTTTAAAAATGAAGAACTTTTCAGAGACAAACTCACCGCTCACTTTCTTCCAGCTCTCAGGGAAAATAAAGTTTCCAGCTGCGCAGCAACTCGTCGCTTTGTTTCTGCTGCTCAACTAACTTCAGTCAAACTTCCGCATTTAGAGTTTTAGGGTTTTTTTCTGTAAAGTCACACAGAGACACTCCGGCTTCCGCTCACGATTTTCAAATTAAAAGTGCCTGACTCGTGATGGGAGGTAGTTCCATCCGGTCTGTCTCCATTATATTGTGTAATTAAGAAGCAGGTTTCTCAAATAGATGAATAAATAAATAAATAGGGCTTGTTTAACTCCTTTTTAAATGCAGTAATTACAACGATGATTCAAAAGATTGAATTAAAAGAAAATGTGTTAATGAATATAAGTGTAAAATATGATACTTCACTCTTAATGCAACACATAATCTCCTGTGGTGTGATCACGCATCTTAAACTTAATTAACAACAGAAAGCGGTTAATTGAAAAAGTCATGAGGACAATATTATTGATATTAATAAGTAATAATAATAATCATCAATTTTTTTTTATGTCACACCATAGGAAACTTTTACAGTGTAGTTCAGTGAAAACGTTGTGACCCTACATTTTCTCAGATATCAGATTTCACACTTCACATATAAACATGTTTTTTTTCTTGAAAAATTGTGTTGAAAAATTTTAAAAAAGCTTTTTAATGAATATTTGTGAACTAGCCAAAGACAGAGATTCCTCCATTTATTATAGGATTATTATAATTCATTGGGTTTTATTTTCCTTCTTATATCACAGTCATTGTGTCATCTATTTTAATTCACTTTGTCATTTCTTTATTGAAACTCTTTCAGCTTAATTTCCTGTATGAAAGGTGCTTTATAAATAAAGTTTATTGTTATTATTATAATTCTGAACACCACTCACACTCACTCCTCCCCGGCCTGTGCTGCCTGTGCTCGGCCTGCAGGAGGCGCTGCAGCCCGCTCCTCTCCTCTCTCCTCCTCCCCCTCCTCCTCCTCTCCGCGGTGTGTGTGTGAGGCTTCCCCCGCTATAAAGGCGCGAGAGGCGGCTGGGGGCTGTAGAGGCTCTCCAGCAGCCAGAGGAGGAGGAGGAGGAGGAGGATGAAGCTGTGTGTCCGTCAGCGTGGAGCTGATCTCAGTTCAGTCCGTCTGAGCTGAAACTGGAAACTTTCTGATGCTGTTGTCACTCTGGAGCTTCTTCTTCTTCTTCTTTTTCTTCTTCCTGCACCTGTGAGAAGGTAAAACTCTCTTCTTCATCTTCCTCTTCTTCTCTCTCTGTTCTCTGAGGTCATATTGATCCTGTGATACTTTAATAATCCGATTCACTGTGACTCTGTTGATTTATGATCTTTTTTCCCACATTATAAATCAGTCAATGTTCATAGAATCTGAATCCAGATGTGCTCAGGTGCACAGCTGGTTTCTTCTTCTGGCTGCTGATGCTGGCAGGTGTAAAACCTTTAGGAGGAGAACAGGTTCAGCAGGAGAACGGGTTCAGGTTCAGATGTTGTGTGCTTTGTGAAATGATGGATGAAGCGTTTGATCTTTGAGGTTTGAGAAACTCTGAGGATGAAATTTTTTTTGTGCTTTTTCTTGATGTTTGCAGTCTGTGTGTGTGTGTGTGTGTGTGTGTGTGTGTGTGTGTGTGTGTGTGTGTGTGTGTGTGTGATGTGAACCAGTTCACACTGTGACGTGATGAGGAAGGTTTCATTCACTGAATATTCTTACAGTGACTGTCTCTGACTGTGACTCTGTGTGTAATAACTCTTATGTTGTAATAAATGATTTATCAATGATTAATAACTTGTTAATGATAATTATCAGTTTACACCACGGTGTGAAAAGTGCATCTGGCTGGTTTTTATGTTTTATCTCTTTAGTTAGTCAGGTGGATTATTGTAAAAGAATCAGACCTGGAGGCTGATGATGACACTAATATTATATAATAAATATAATATTAGTGTCATCATCAGCCTCCAGATATTATCATATCTGATATTATAAATGTTTTATTATGAAACAGGAGAAACATCAACCTGTCATCGCCTGAGTTCTTCTGTTCATGGTGTAAAACATTTGATAAGAGTATTATTAATTACAAACCTCTTTCTTTAAAGGGTTAAACTCTGTTAAATCCTCTGCTGTGATTCAGGTTTAGTTTCACATGTTTCCATCTCCTCTTACTTCCTGGTTGATAAACCTGGATCAGGCCTGGAGCCCCGCCCACCACCTGCTGGCTCCAGGTGGACAGGTGAAAGAGCACTGTCTCTCTCTCTCTCTCTCTGTCTCTCTCCATCTCTCTCTCTCTGTCTCTCTCTCTCTCTGTGAATCTCTGATAGTTTTTATTCTCCTCCACAAACATTTTGTTTGTTCTGCCACTGAGCTGAAACCGTTACCCAGAAGCCCCGGCTGACAGTGAGCAGCGCTCTGAGCGAATGCCTCTGACATGAATTATTAACTCTGTTGTAGTTGTGCAGCAGCTGAACACAGATAAGTGGGATGTAGTTTTCAGCTCTCTAATCTGCTGCTGGATGTGGAGTCTCAGCTGGGTGAAGCTCCACACCTCCACTGCTTATGTCACATGACCTCACCCTGAGCTGCTGCAGGTCGGAGACACCTGATGTTTTATATGAACTGTCCCACGAATCCAAGAAAGACTTTAAATAGTTTTAAATGAATTTGACATTTTGCTGTTTTCATCACAGCGTCACTGAATCTTCAGCTCAACTCAACTTTATATTTCTGTTAAATAAATAACAGAAACATTAAGTAACAGCACAAAGATTGAGGATAAACTCCACAGAGGGGTCTGAAGTTAATGAGCTCTGAGCGACTGGAGCAGCCATGTTCCCCGTCAGCTGATGTCCAGGTCACAGAGGAACCTTCAGCGATGATGAGCCGCTGATTTAAAAACACTCAGAGCTGAAGCTGCTTCACTTCATCCACATGCAAAAGTATTCTGTTTTCTGTTCAGTACAAAGGATTTATAACATCATCCATTCATCCATTCATTCATCCATTCATCATTCATCCATTATTCATTCATCCATTCATCATTATTCATTCATCCATTATTCACTCATTCATTCATCCATCATCCATCCATCCATTATTCATTCATCCATTCATCCATTCATCATTCATCCATTATTCATTCATCCATTCATCATTCATCCATTCATCCATTCATTCATTCATTCATCCATTCATTCATTCATTCATTCATTCATTCATCCATTACTTATTCATTCATTCATCCATTCATCCATTATTCATCCATCATCCATTCATCCGTTATTCATTCATCCATTCATTCATTCATTCATCCATTACTTATTCATCCATTCATCCATTATTCATTCATCCATTCATCATTATTCATTCATCCATTATTCATCCATCCATCCATTCATCCGTTATTCATTCATCCATTCATCATTATTCATTCGTCCATTATTCATTCATCCATTATTCATTCATCCATTCATCCATTCATCCATATGCAGTACTGCTTATCCTTTAAGGGCTGGAGCCAATCACAGCTGACAGGTCGGGGGCGGGATTCACCTGGACCTGGTGTTTGTGTTCGGTTGTGTTGAGCTCTCAGGGCCACCGTATCAAAGACAGGTGTAGGTGCTGTGTTCCAGGGAGGGGGGGGGGCATCAGCGAGGTTCAGTGTTGTGTTCATGGCCCGTCAGATTGTCCCTCACCATCAGCATCAACGTCACTTTGACCAGAAGAGTCCAGTATTATTACAGACGGAGCTGCAGGTTGAAGCGTCTGACCAGTAGAACCAGTAACTACAGCTGAATCTAAACCAGTTCAGGCGGGACGCACCTTCAGCTCCGGAGCTTCTTGGTTCCTAGAAATTTTTCTGGTGGAAAAAGAAAAGGTGAATTTTCAAAAGGCAGAAATCATCAATCATCAATAACTGATATTGATCCAACAGTCAGTGATGACCTCATCATCTGGATATAATACTTTTACTTTTACAGTCTTTCCACATCTGAAACACCATCAGGGGAACCTGACCCTCCACAGTTAAAGAACAGATCTGTGGTCAGTTATTAAAATAGCCTCCTGGACTCCTCCTCCTCCTAATCCTCCTCCTCACATCCCGTGTAACCCGAGCCGGCGGCGGCGTGCAGCGGAGGATATTTTTCCTGGATGTATCTGTCACTTCCTCCTGTGGAGTACATTACAGCGGGTTCATCATATGGAGCCGAGTGCTGCTGATGGGATAATGGAGCCGATGAAGCGGTTGAGCTGGACATTCGATTGTGTCTTCCTGACCCAGCGGAAATGGCTGCCTGTGGGCGAGGAGTTTCTAACAGAGATGCTGCTGAAAAAACTCTGAGTCAGTTTGTGTCTAATGAGGCTGTTTTAAATAAAGTTTGAGCTGCTGGACATCAGATGTGTCAAATAAGATCCTGAAGTTTAAGTTTTTTACTCTGAATGTTTCTGACAGAGAAAGTTTCTGCTCGGAAACAACTTGAAGCTTTAACTTTAACCTGGACATTCGTGTGTGTGTGCGTGTGTGCGTGTGTGTGTGCGCGTGTGTGCGTGTGTGTGTGTGTGTGTGTGTGCTCAGGTTCTGGGTGGTTTCATCAAACACAGTGAAATGAATGTAATTAATTAAGGAGTCCAATCATCTGTTATTCTAATTTAATGAACACTTGTTCTGGTTCCATTCGATTAGAACATGGAAATCAGAAATGACACAGTGACGCTGGTGACGTCTTTATAAACTTTAATCAAAGCATCCAGCAGCGTCCTGTGCCGTCCTCTAATGTCCTCAAACATCCTCCACGTCTTTGTCCTGTGCAGACTTCCTGTCCCGCCTCCGCCATGAGTGACATCTACGAGTCGGCGGCGAACTCTCTGGGTCTGTTCAGCAGCCCCTGTCTCACCAAGGTGGAGCTGAGACTCACCTGTAAAGGGATCTCAGACCGAGACGCTCTGTCCAAACCCGACCCCTGCATCGTCCTCAACATGCAGTCCCACGGACAATGGATGGAGGTAAGTCGCCATGGCAACTGGACTGAGCTTTCGCCCGCAGGCAGTTCTGTGTTTGTGGTGCTTTCATTGGACTGGCCCCCCCGTCTGTAGGAGAGTCAGGGTCTCCGCTGTCCTCAGGTGTCTTCAGGAGAGAGAGACAAACTGTGAGTGGTACAGGGCTGAGCTTCATGCTGCTGGGGGGGGGGGGGCTCACGCACCCTCACGCACCCTCACGCACCCTCACGCACCATCACGCACCCTCACACACCCTCACACAGATTAACAGTGGTAATCGTTTGAAAGACTTGAAGCTGTGATGTTTGAATGTTCAGCAGAGAGAACGAGAGAAGCCTAACATCTGATCAAACAGGAGACAGCTTTTATCTTTTATCTTTTCTGTTTCTCTTGCTAGTCACGTGTTTTCACTGATGTCTGATCAGGTTAAAGTTTCATCACACACTCAAACACGACACCACCTGCTGCCTCTTAGCGCTGACTCCTGATCGGCCTCTGTGTGTCTTCACGCTGCGTTCACTGCTCAGCCTGAAGCTGGACATTTTCAGCCTCGGTGATGTGTCCTGTCGGAGTCTTTAATGGACAGAAAAGTGCTGAGAGGTGAACGAGCTGCTGATGAAAACACAGGAAGGTGCCGAGCTAATTAGCGGAGCAGTGAATCACCACGGGGCAAATACAACAAGACATTAACCACTCAGCAGAGTGGAGGCTACAGTCCTCCACCTCCCTCCCTCTCTCCCTCCCTCCCTCTTTCCTCTGTTTCTGTTGAATCTAATAATGACATCATCTACCTTCATCTTCACATAATAACTAATAACTGCAACAAGCCTCAGAGTCAGAACAGACTCTGGATCTGTCTGAATCCCTCTGTAGAAAACCCACAGGTCCATAAACCAGTGCTTCTCAACCTTTTCCAGCTCGAGGCCGCGGATCACAGGTTGGGAACCACTGACATAAAATAACTCTCGCTGTGCGTCACGCTGCAGTTTGAGCATCATGTGGCGTTCACGTGCAACATGAGAAACCTGGTTATGTACGTCCCTTTGAACGTGATGCTGACGGTATCACCTGCAGGTGTGTCTTGATTTCTTGATTAAACCACTTCAGAAATGTGGATCAGGGTTTTTCCATGTCACAGTGTCAGACTCGTCCAGGTGACCGTTCAGGTGTTTGTGAACACAGGTAAAGAGGTTCCCTTGTAGAAAAACAGAAGCAGGATTCTCATTGGCAGACAGCAGATAATCTGTTTACTCCAGCCATGGTGAAACACTCGTCTTCCTCCCACCGTCCTCTCTGTTGTCGGCCATCTGGAGCTGGACTGTGAGGGAATGACGTGCGGTTGGAAGCTGCTCCGGTTCATTATCGACACGACAGACGATGAAGAGGGAAAGTGAAAAGATTCTCTGCTGGTTTCTGCTTCTTGTTTGAGTCCAAACACAGTGAGAGTGAACACACAGTGAATCCACACTGTTAGAAATGTGCTGCTGGTTCCTCCATATCTGTACATCACATGTAACGACTGTTTCATTGGTTAAAGAGCAGCTGAAGTAAAACTGACTGTGAGCACCAGCAGCTCACTCGCTCCTCTTTAATGGCTCCACTTTTAATAAAGGCTGGTTCCTCCTGGGAGCTGGAGATAAATCTCTTCAGAGCTGCTTGTTTTACACTTAGAGGGTCGGTTCACCCGAATTACAAAGAAAACATGTTTGACAAAGTTACTATGAAAATATTAGAATAATTATATTAATTTCTTTGAGGAATTGGCACAAACTGATCCTTTAAAGTCGAGGCCGATTGTTGAGCCTGACTCAGTCAGTAACTGTTTTTTTCAGACTTAATTTGTTCGTTTTATTTTTTATGCCTTTGTTTGAGCGGACAGTGAAACGATGCAACAAACGCCTGATGTGAACTGGGGATTTTGTTTAATGGTCGGCACCTCCTCGAGCAGGTTCGTTATCTGCTGCTGCTGCTTCCACTAACGAATCCAACACTGAGGAAAAGTCACATCTCTGACCTGAACCACACAACAGGTTAATAATGTGGAGCCGCTGCAGGTGGAGGTTGACCTGAGAGATCAGATATCTTGGTACCAGGTGTGCACAGTTTACCTGCCCAACAGCTGAGCTGAGCCTCAGCTGAGTTACTCCAGCTAACACCACGTCTGAGGCTCCACAGTTTAAACCAAATCATTAGCAGCTGTGAGAGATGAGCTGCGTCCCAATTCAGGGGCACATCCTTCAGAGGGCGTGTCTACGAAGGTGTGGCCCTTCGGCAGAGGGCGTGTCTACGAGGGTGTGGCCCTTCGGCAGAGGGCGTGTCTACGAAGGTGTGTCCCTTCGGCAGAGGGCGTGTCTACGAAGGTGTGGCCCTTTGTTGCCGTTGTATCAAAATGAGACGGTCTTGACTACAGAGGATTTTCCCCTTTTCATCCCCAGCTCTGTCGCCCTTACTGTTGTCTCACAAAGTTGCATCCTGTTGCCTAGCAACCTTTACGAGACATTACGTAACTGTGATCGAGATTTTAAGACCCTTTTTTACCGTCAGCTGTTGAACTGAGCTGACACTTACATTTAAGTGTAATCCTCAGACTCTGTTGGTGTATTGTTTTCATTGCCGACACGCAATGAATCCTGGGATATGTATTCATCAGGACTGTTTCCTGGTGGACTCTGAGGCTGTTGTTTTGGTTCAGGACAAACTGAGCTCAGTGACAGACAGGTGTCACAGGCCTCTCAGGTGACTGTTCCACAGTGTTTAGGCCTGAAGTCTCAGTGTGAGTCAGTGGGTGTCAGCAGGGATTATAATCTGGTGATGTTTTAATGGATAGTGTTTGTTCTGTGGCTGTTTATTAAAGTTTTATTGATCCAGGGATCATCATCGGGGCTCTCTCTCTCTCCCTCTCTCTCTCTCTCTCTCTCTCTCTCTCTCTCTCTTTCCTCCCTCTGGTTTCACTTCCTCACATTTTTAATTGATCTCCTCCATCATTAAAATAAATTCTTTTTCTCTCAGAATCATCTCAGCTGCTTTCAGTTCAGTCGTTTACAGGAGACGGATTTAGTTTTAGTTTCCTCCTCTGGCCGATGGGCAAAAATAGAATTATTGACAATATGATAATGGGACCTAATGGAAATAATACAACTGTAAATGTTTATTAGGCTGTGAATGGCACACAAGGGTTCAAAGCTCTGGACCATATTTGTAGCGCCTGAAGACACTGAAATACGTGATAATACAGTGTCTGTCCTCTGCAGCACCGGATGTCTGTAACATCAGAAAGATGTTGGAGTCCAACGACTCCAGTCACATTTAACAAGCGTTAGCTAATGTTAGCAAACATTTAGCAGACGTTAGCAGATGTTAACAACATTGAGAAAATGTTAGTAGACGTTTAGCAGACGTTAACAGATGTTGAGCAGATGTTAGCACACAATTAGTAAACATTAGTATGTGTTTAGCAGACGTTAGCAAAGGTTAGCAGACCTTTAGCAGATGTAAATGTTTTGCTGTTGCTACATAGGCAGCGTTAGCATTAACAGCTGTTTACCTGGAACATGCTGATACGTGTATCTGCTGTATAGGAGCAGGATAATGTCTTCCTGTCTCTCCACACAGTGAGAACCTGCGGTGACGGCTCAGACTGAGAACAGCCTGAAAAAGCCACAACCTAAATTTTTTGTTTTAACAATTTAACAGAGAGCTGGTGTTAAATAATGGAAATAAGTGAGTGCACCACCCACGCATGTGGTGTATGAGCCAGTTCGTTTTCAGTGTTGTCTCACACAGTTGAAATGGTAATGTATGCGGTGTGACATTTCCTGCTGTCGCTGACGCAGGCCGCCTCCCTCTGGACCGTCACACCCTCCATCAGTCAAACGTTCAGGGAGAAACAGATGAAAGTGTGAAGCAGAGATGGGAGGACAGGAGGAGGGGTGACTGAACAATATCTTCTAAAAGTTTTTAATCACAGCTACAAGTTAAAGATTTATAGGTTCGATGTTTCACTGGAGGAGACAGAAGAATGTCAACAAGCCGGGGCACAACAACCCGTGTCTGTCGTCATAGTGACAGTGAGTGTCAGTCAGAGAGCTGGTAACTAGCTCCACTAGCTCTCTGCCATTATACAGAGTTGTGCCTGAGCAGACAGAGGTCACACCCAGAGGCTCTGCTGCATAAAACATGACACACAGCTTCCTCCGAGACCACCACAACAACTCTGGTTAAAAGTTGGGGGGGGGGGCAGTGCTGCTGAGTCCAGGTTGAATCATCAGAACCAAAGACAAACATCTCACTACATTCAGAGCGGTGGCCATTTTGCTTTCAGGTTGACCGTCTCGTTGTCATGGATACGATATCTCAGTAGCACCGTGACGGAACGTCTACAAATTCAGCACAAACATTCACTAAGACTCAAGGATGAACTGATTATATTTTAGGGGTCAGAGTTCAAAGGTCAAGGTCAGTGTGACCTCACAAACACTTTTTAATCATAACTCAAGACTTCACACAAATGGTTAATATTTTCTCTGACTCTGGATGAACAGGAAGTGACCTGAGACGAGTCTGAGAGGAGGAGGAGCTGATTCTAGTTTTAACCTGTTTTTATCTTCATTTTACATTTGTGCTGCATTTCTTAAATGAAAGGTGCTGTACAAATACAGTTTATTACTATTATTATTATTATTATTATCATCATCATCGTCATCATCATCATTATTATTAACTGAAGAAGTCAACAACGACTCCCATCGTGCATTTCACCAACAGCCAATCACAGAGCTTCATACGCTGTTGTTGAAGCTAAGTAGTGTAGTATTAAGAGCCGTTCACACAACTGTTGGAAAAACAAACAAACAAACAAACAAACAAACAAAAAACAGATGTTGAAAATCACAGTTGAATTAAAAATAAAAAAACCTGAGCTTCAACAAACACCGACAGAAACTAGATCCGGCTGTGAATCAAACTGACGGGTTCTTCTGTCCCTGAGTTACTGAATTCTGCAGATTCACTGAATCCTGGAGGTCTGATCTGATCTGTGACACTGTGGAGGTCAAAGTTCATCTAAAGACATAATGGACTGTTGAGTGTGAGGTTACAGATGTTCCCTCTGTCTCATCTTGTGTGTGTGTTTCCTCAGTGTGTGGTGTGACTGGGTCAGACCTGCTTTCTCTTGCCCCACTTTCTGTCTCTGAGTATTTTTAGTCGTGGAAATGCAGATGAAGCTTTCACACGGACACAAGCTCCTCCTCTTTTTATTTTTCCACTCGTCCCAGTTTCATTTTCTCTCTTTCCTTTCAGTCTGATTGTTTCAGATCCGAGTCTGATCCATCAGGTCTGAGCCATCAGGTCAGATCCCGGCATCAGTCAGTTTAAGTCTCTGGATGTTCAGAGGGAAGGTTTTACAGATCGTACAGCAGCAGCATCAGAGCGTCTCCTTCTCTTCCTGTCTCTCAGCTGTGCAGCCAACGACACAGTCTCAGGTTTAACACAGTGCGTGTCAGTGTGTTCTCAACTGAAATCCATGTTGCTGTGAATATAAAATAGTAAATATATATAACCAATAATAAATAAGCTTTTCCCCTCGTGGTTACACACAGTAAACTGTCAAAGAACAAACGGTTTCATGTTCATTGAGTCCGTTACACAGACAAAGCCTGTGACGACACTAACGAGGAGAATTAATGAAGAAGAAGGAGGAAGAGAGAAAACCCTGGAAACGTCTTCATGAAACATGTCAGACTCCCGGTTTGATCAGGGAAGAAGCTGACGAGAGGATTTCAGAGGAAACAGATGTGTGAGGAGGAGACTGATCTTACAACAACATGGACGTACAGTTTGTTGTTGGTGCCGACTCAAATAGAAGAAGAAGCTTGGAAGAAAAAACACACGAGGCTGAAAAGGACAGTCTTCTTCAGACTGGAGACGACGATGTTCATGAGTCTGATGAAGGTGGAGACACTGGAGACGAGTGGACGAGCAGAAACACAGAGGAACACACGGCTCGGCCTGAAACACACAAAGTTTTCATCTGAAGATGTCAACGAGGAAACAACAGTTCAGACCGGTTCAGACTGGATCAGACCAGATCAGACCGGTTCAGACCGGTTCACTGTACTACACTGTAATCAGATTTATATTTTGTTTCTCATCAGGAAACATATTAAAGCTACAGCAACACTTAAAGAAATATTGTTTATGGTCAGAGTCAACATCATCATCATCATCATCATCATCATCATCATCGTCTCCAGTCATTTTGATGGTGCAGTAAGTTTGAGGCTCCTTAGTTTTCTACACCAGAGATCACCACGGTGCTGAGGCTGTTGGTGTCAGTCAGCAGCTTCTGTCCTGTCATCATCACGCCACCACCGTCCCTCCTCTGTTCAGACTGAGGTGGAGTCTTAAATCCTATCGTGCTATTCGTCTGTCTGTGATCAGGTGAAACTTTAATGATGCGCAGAAGAAGAAACGAGGATGGAGATCACAAAGATGAAGTACGACACAGAGAAGCAGGAAAACAACAGAGAGCGGCATGAAGACATGGAGACAAGACATCAACAGAAACTCAAACTCACTTCCTCACAGGAGGAATGTGATTCCTCCGGCGTCGTGTACGAACATTTCTTGAATTCAATGAAATATAGATTTAATTAGAGAGCGAGGCAGAAAAACACAAGCTGAGAACATGAAGCAACATCAGATCAGCAGCTGAATAAAGACGCACTCGTCTCAATGTAGATCAGCCCAGCACACGCCTGGTTCCACGGCCCGATTCTGGCCCAGATACAGCCCGAGTGTCAGATGCTGCAGCCACATCTGGACCAACTCTGGCGCACACACAGAAAATCCTGGAGGGGGGACAAGAGTGTCTCCTCGTATCTCCTCCTCTCCTCATGTCTCCTCGTATCTCCTCCTCTCCTCATGTCTTCTTGCGTCTCCTCGTGTCTCCTGCGGGAGCCGGAGAGTCTGACAGACGTCGTCCAGCACAGTCGGACACAGAGAAGTGTGAAGACTCAGGAACTGCTCCAGGAAGACGTCCCGCAGGGTCAGCAGGGGGGTCAGCGGGGCGGCGGGAATCCTCTCACACTCCATGTTGGATTTCTTTTCAGCTGATTCAGACAAAATCTAACGATCCAATCTTTAAGTAGCGTGTGGAGGAGCTGCAGCCGGAGCACCATCTGTCTGAGGAGGCCTCTGAGTGGACGGCAGGTCGACCACACGCCTCCTCTCAACAGCTCCGCCTCTCAGAAGCTCCGCCTCTCAGCAGGTTTCACTCTGTGCTGTCACTTTGTGACTCGTCGAACAGGATATACTTTACTGTATATGATGAGTCCTGATCCTGATCCTGATCCAGATCCAGATCCTGATCCTGATCCTGATCCATTCACATCCAGCTTCATTGATTAATTAACATGTGGATTTTCAGAATCAAAGTCCTTTTTTCTTCTTATTGTGAAAATCTTCTGGATCTGTCTGAAGAACAGATTCTTTTCAACATTTATTTTCTTCTTTTCTTCTTATTCTTTCAAAATAAAAACATAAAAGTTGAAACACGTCGTTTCAAATCCTCGTTAATGTCCATATAAACATGTTAACGACATCATACACAAATCTGTCACCATGGTGTTCTGACCCACAATGCCTCAGTCATACACTAAGCTAAACTCTGATCATGTGACTCTTACTCTTCAAAATAAAACTAACCTCACATGAACAGCGTGTAATTTACAACCAGGAATAATTTTAAACTGGTACATTATTTTTAAACAAACCTTTTATCAATGTCACCTTTTCATTTCCTATTTATTCCTTTTTTAATAAACTTAAATTATCGTGAATCTATAAGAAACATATGAAGCATATCACTCAGACAGTTACTCCACTGCAGTTTGAATATTTTCTGACATTTATCGACCAAATGATAGAAAATTAGCTGCAGACAGAATGAAACTGTCAGTGTGTTTCCATGGTTACTGTATGTTGACCATTTACATTCTTGAATATGTTGATTAGAGGTTGAATTGATTGGTCGTTTGGTCACACAGATGAAACACTTCCTGTAACGATCCAACGTGACGGAGAGGATTTTGAATTTCTGGCTTTTGGAGGTTCAGAGTAAAAAAGGAAAACTCAAGTTTTAAAGAATTTTTTTCTGTGACCACGTGCCAATCACCTGCCGATCACCTGCCAATCACCTGCCGATCACCTGCCAATCACCTGCCGATCACCTGCCAGTCACCTGTTGGTCAGTCAATGCGGGCGGGACTGTGACACCTTCTTTAAGTTGATCACAGACGCTTCTCTCCTGTTTCCTTCGCTCTGTTTTTCCTTAGAGAAGTCACATATTCAGACTGTGGTGATGACCTCATCGTGTCGTTGTCTCCTGCAGGTGGACCGGACGGAGGTGATCCGCAGCTGCGTGAACCCCACCTACTCCAAGGTGTTCACGCTGGACTTTTATTTTGAAGAGGTGCAGCGTCTGCGCTTCGAGCTGTACGACATCAACAGCGGCCACAACGGGCTGAAGGAGGCCGACTTCCTGGGATGGGTGGAGTGCACGCTGGGACAGGTGAGTTTCAACACGTCCATCACACTGAAGGTCTCCTGGATCCCTGGAGACCTCGTGCTTTTCACCTTGATGCAGGTGCTCAGGTGTTTGTGCGTGTGATGCGACAGGATGTATTCTTCCTTCCTATTCGTCGGTTCAGAAGAGGTTCACCTTCACCATGAGCATCAGGTCCAGAGGAATGAAGGAAGGGCGTTAAACATCAAACCAACGAAGGTTTTCCTCTCAGATAATCATTTCAAACATGAAAGGAAAGACACTCAAAAATAAAGATTCAATTTAACAACAAATCAAAATAGTCTCATTATGTTCTCGTTAGAGAAATAAGGACAAAGAAGGTTCTCTGTGACCAACAGACTAATTACAGGAACAAACTTCTCTTATGATCTTCAAGTGCCCAGGTGAACTCTATCAGGTAAATGAGGGGTGAAAACAGGAGCCAATCAGAGATAAGGAAAGGAAAGGGAGTGAGGGAGGTGAAGAAAGGAAGAGGAAAACAAGAAAATCTTTACTGCAGTCGTCCTTCTGTCTTCAAACATGATCACAGTTTATGTGACGTCAGAACGAGGCTGCAGCAGTTCATCTGATCAGGTCTTCTCTCCGCCTCTTCAGTCCCTGTTTGTTTCCTCACAGTGGGAGTCTGTCGAGGTCGTGACCTCTGAGTAGACACTGAACGAATGAGGTCACGGATCCTGAAATGAGTTTCCTCTCAGGGAGTCTGGGCTCAGTCTGGGAGACTGAGACCCGAGACCCCACCTCAGGTAGAGAAGAAAATGGATGGATGGATGGAGGGAGCTGCTATGAGACAAACAGACACAATGAGATGCTGAAACAAACCACAGACAGTGAACTACACAGCAACATGCTCCATGTGTGTCTCATCTCTAATCTTCTACAGAGATTTTATTCAATGTTTCAAACCAGATTAACTAAATAAAACGTATGCAAAGTGTAAAAATGTGCCTCAGTTTCCCTGAATAATCCTAAATATTATAATATCTCCGTCTGTCATTTTATTCTCCATCTGACGTTTGCTGCTTTTCATTTTCTTCTGGCATCAAATTACTTTCCATCCTGCTCCGCTAACAGGTTCATCTGTCAGAGCCGTGTGTGTGTGTGTGTGTGTGTGTGTGTGTGTGTTACAGGTAAATATCAGCGAGCTGTCACTCGTCACACTCACCTGAGCTGAAAGTTTAAACGGCTGCTTTTGTTTTGAGTTTCTAAGTTTTTAACCCGACGATTGTCTGAATCTTCTTCTGGTGAAAAACTCTGTTCTGTTCCGTCTCTTCTTCTGCATCTGATGCTCAGACGGGGCTGAGTGTTTGTGAGGAGACAAACGTCCTCAGAGTCTCATTACAGCAGCAGACAGAGAATAAACCTCTGACAATACGACACAATCAGCATCTGTGGGTTTGTGTAGAACATCACTGAAGCTGATACTCAGTTTTTATAACAAGGAATTAAAAGTGACTGACTTCAGAAACTAAAAGTCATTTCTCTGCCTGAGGAATAAAATGTGTTGATGTTTCTTAAACAAGAGATTTTCTTACAGAGTTTGGTGGAGCTGCAGATAATTGACTCTTAAATAGATTAAAAATAACTTCCTTCATTAGAATGAAAGTGGAACGAGGACAAACTGTCATCAAAGACGATCAGTAAATAATGTCCCCCGGGATCGTCATAATATAATAACCACAGGATCGTTTCCACGCTACAATTTATTTCTAAGACTTTAGAAACTGTTGTCTCCTCCTGCTGAAACACCTGCAACATCTTTAATTAATCCCAGTCTGGGTTTGTGCTCAGCACAGAGTCCACTCTGTGTTTGACAATCGACCGTGACGTTCTCTTAAAACACCTGGGGGGTGTAGTTGAGACCTGAGAGATAGAGCCTGACACTCCGCTTTACCTGCTGATACACCGAGAGGTGCTGGTGTAGAAAGGTGGTGGTGTAATAACGTTGTTAGAATTTTATAAGAAACAAACCACCAATAAGGTAACTTGTGTTCTTTGATACGAGGGTGAGCAGTACTTGATGAACCACAATACGGAGGCTGCAACAATAACTATTTATTGTACAAAGATATGTACAAGGATAAAACTTATGGTAGCAAATGTCTCCAAATTGGGGGAAAGTCTTTAAAAGAAAAGGCAAGTTAACAGTCTTAAAATAATCAGTGCGAGAGGGCTCGCTGTCGTACTCCCAGTCCTTGCTCTAGCGCCCTCTATCCAGTTGACATCGGTCGAGCCCACACCACCAAGGGTCCTTCTTCTCCACTCCTGGAACCAAGAAAAATAGCCAGCAGTCTGCACTTCATAGGCAGGGTTATATGTCAATACAAGCAACCTCACCAACAGACTGGTTAGAGGGAACTCACAGCTTTGGGCAGAAGCTCCTGCTGGTCTCAGTCGTCCGGCCTGCTTTCACCCATCACCAAGGCCCCCTCTGCTGACTCGACACCTCCAGGTAACATCCACTGGTCCTGGAACAAAAGAACGTAGACAGCAATCTACCAGCTTTAAGCAGAAACTCCTGCCTCTGCCACTCGCATCCAAAAGCCTCCAATACACTACTGTGTCTGTCCTCCAGCCTGCATGGGGATCCTCCACTACTTGCAAGGTGTGTGGGCTCAGTCGAAAAAAAGACCTGGAGTCAAACCTGCTGCTCTGTCTATATAGATGGAGAGAAACCCTCCCCTGAGTCACCATTGGCCGGTGTGGCCAGCCTGTAGCCGTTGATTGGCTGCAGCAGATGTCAGTCCATGTCTGCAATCACTGTCTCCATTGTGTTCACCTGTGTCAGTTAACTTAAACATGCATGTCAATACACTCAGACGAAGGAAATGTTGCACTCAAAATCATAACTAAAGAAAGCAACTAAACACAAACATGCAAATAAACACTGAACATGCATATAAATAAACAAAATACTCAAACACAACAAACAATGATTTCCACTGCAGACAGCAACACAACACATAGTACTCAGTATGACACTGGGCAGAACCAGAACCTCTCGGCCGGATTACTGTGAGTCTCTGGACGAGTCCAAACGCAGCTGCCAGAACAAAAATAAAAAACTAGATTCACCTCCTCCTCAGGAAACATCTGATCTCAGTCTCTGATTCCTGAGTCACAGGCTGAATAATGACCTGAACATGAGGAAGTCACAGTGAAGTTGACCTTTGACCTTGTGGATATAAAAAGTCATCACTTCATTTAATCCTTATAGACATGTGAAACGGTGTCATAGTTAGTGACCTTTGACCACATGAAGTCCCGTCACATTAATCGATATTTTAAATCAATCTTCGCCTTCGCCTCAGTGTCAGTGTCCTCGCTTCATTTATCTTTCTCTTAGTTTCATTTTTTTTCTTTAATGTTTTTGTTTATTCATTTTCTCTTTTATTGATTTTATTTTCATCCTCAGATGATTTCCTCTTATTTATGTTTTCTTACTGTTGATGATAAATCACGTTAGGTCACTGCTGTTGTTTTTAGATGTTGTGGTGATTTTAACATCAGCAGATCTGCTCAGTGACTTTCATCATGTTTCCTCTCATTAATGATATTAAATACAGACTGTCATAATTATCAATATCAGTCAATATGTAGAAGATGATTGTGATAATATATTTGCTCATACTGCTCTGTGAGGCTGTAAAACTCGTCTGGGGAACATGAATAAAAGAGAAATAAAACCAGGATCAGAGACGGATCATGAAGTAAAGATGTGTAACAGCCTGACGAGGAGGAAACAGAAACATCCAGAGTTTTCCGTCCATCTGCTCGGCCTCAGTACAAACTCAAGTTAAGTCTTCTTCTCGCCTTGCCGTGGCGGCCGAGCGACGCTGTGGATTTCCTGCCGACTGTTTTCGGTTTCCTGCGGGGGGAGAAGTGTTGGAAGAGGAGGCGGCCGCCAAGTCTGTGTTCAAACAATCAGCTCAGATGACGGCTGGAGAGTCAGCGGCGTGGAAGCGCTCCTCTCCCTCGTCTTCGTCTCTGCCAGCAGCGTCAGCGGCTTCAGCTGCCAGCTCCTCCACCGGCCAGATGGCTGCTGGAGCGCCGCGGCGTTCTGCTAACAGCCCTGGAAGAGACGCTCAGAAACCATGTGTGAGGACAGACGAGCTTCAGCAGGACGAGGACGCTCAGCAGCTTCTGTCTTCATCCTGCTCACAGCAGGTCTGAGGAGGACGGAGACGACTCGTCCTCCGACTGAAGAGGGAACAGAGTTTATACAACAGACAGCCGTGGACCGTGGGAGTGAAAGCAACCGTCTCTCTCCCATAATCCTCAGCGGCAAACAGCTCCTGCCTGACTGAGTGTCCCCACTTCACTCAAATGTCCTCAGTGTCTCAGGTCAGGGTCCACATCCCTCAGAGGGCGTGGTCTACGAGGGCGTGGTCCTCGTAGGCCGTGAAGGCCGAACCGTGATGAGACGGTCTGGTCTTCGCTGTGGGTCACCAGCTGTTCCCGCTCTTACTGTTGCATTGCACAGCATGGCTCCTGTCGCCTAGCAACCCTGACAACACTTCAGTAAAACCTTTTTTTTCAGTCTCTTGGTTTTAACAGTTGAACTGTTGAACTGAGCTGAAACTGAACACTGACATTTAACAGTGTGATCCTCAGACTCTCTGTCTGTGCTGTGCAATGCATCATGGGATATGTTGGACCTCGAAGGATCCACCTTTGTTGTCTGGGAAAAGAAGGACGGATCTGAAGGAGCCAGTGAAGTGAGACAGTCGCTCTGTAAACATGTCCTGACTTTATAAAAAGTTCCTCTCTTCATAAAAACATCGTCACGTTACAACATACGAACTTTCCAAAAACATCACAGAGACTCAATAAGAGTCATCTTCTTCATTCACAGTTAAAAACTAGACAAGATTACCTGTGCACTAACGTGTGTGTGTATGTGTGTGTGCGTGTGTGTGTGTGTGTGTGTGTAGATCATCTCTCAGAGGAAACTGTCCAAAGCTCTGCTCAGACCAGGAGGCACCGTGGGAAAATCCATCATCACGGTGAGCCTCACTCTCTCACCTGCTCTCACTGCCTCATCAACCTCTCTCGCCCTCGTGACATCACTCGTTCAGACCCAGGTTGGTGGTGGGCGTGTCCAATCTGTCTGTTGGAGCCATGACAGTATCTCATTGGTTAATGTGAAGTACAGCTTATAAGCTCACACCATCAGACACTGAGTGGGTGAGAAGCCGGTGATGGATCAGGACCTCGTGGAAACAGTTTGTTGTTTCTGTCTTTGCTCGTAAAGTTTGTGTTTGACTCATTCAAACCTCCATCAGACCCGGCTCAGGGGTTTCTGTGCTTCTGTGGTTTTTCCAATCAGCTGTTTGGACTCTGATCCTCTGAGCTGGACCGTCAGCGTCTCCTCAGACCGGCTCAACCTCAGATTTACTGTCTGTTTATCCTCAGACTCACAGCTCGCTCTCTCGCTCTCTCTCTCTTCACCTCTGTGGACACATGAAACGGTTCAGTGGGATTTATTTTGAAAGGATTTCTGAAGAGGAAGCTGCTCCACTTAAAGAATCAGCTTTTATTTTTTTATTTCTCTCTATTTTTCCTTTTGTCTCTTTTTGTTTCTTTTTTTGAAATGTTGGTCGGTTATTCTTTCTTTTTTCTTCTTGTCCTCCACTTCCCCTTTCTTCATTTTTCCTTCCGTCTCTTCCATCCTGTCAAGTCTTTCTTTTTCTCAGTTAATTTCTGTCCGTCCTTCCTTCTTTCCTTCCCTGCCTCTTTCTTTTCTTCCTTCTTGCTTCCTTCTTCATATATTTTCTTCCCTCCATCCTTTTTCAATTAATCCCTCCTTTCTCTCATCTTTCTTTCCTTCTTTATTTCGTTCCTGTCATCTTTCACTCTTCTATCCTCTTTTTTATCATGTCATTTATTTCCTTGTTTATTTTACATATCCTTTCTTCCTCTTTCTTTCTTCCTTTTTATTCTGTCTTCTACATTTTTTCTATAATTATCTTCTATCTCGTCATATGTTCATTGATTCTTACTTCAGTCTTTCCTTTTCCCACCTTTCTTCCTCCTCCTGACATTTTTTCAAATTAATTGATAATTATTGATAATTATCATTACGTCTCCTACAAAATGTTTTTCTGCTGTTTCTGTTTGTATAAAAACGGATTGTGTTGATTTCAGGAGAGAATATTTGAATATGTTTAGATTCAGTCAGTGATAATTTTGCAGATTCGTTCATTAGTGTTTCCTCATTAAAGCTCCTCCAGTCTAAAGGTCTCAGTCCATGTGTAGTGTGATTATAGATCAGGTCTAGGTTCTATATTAATACTGTGAAAGTATCAAAGCCTCAGTCCACAGAGAAATGCACACAGCCTGTATTCAGAAACTGAGCCTTAAAACCAGCCGTCAGGACTTCTGGAACTTTGTGATGTCACAACAAAGCAGTCACCAAGCCCCGCCCACCTGGACCCACCATCCAAACCTTGCAGGATTTGGTTTCTCTGAGTGTTTTTACCTGAAATCTGCTATATTTTTATTGGATCACTGAGATAATCAGCTGACTGCTGTTTCCATAGGAACAGAGACTGAAGTGACATTGAACCTCTGTTCCCACGGCGACAAGTTTCCACAGATCACTCAACTACAATCAAATGATCAGATATTAGACTGACTTTATGAACAGTCTGATCAGACAAACATCCAACTGAGTGACATCAGACCACACCATGGATGTAGCAGGTTGTAGTTAGCTTAGCATTAAGCAGCAGGTGAATGAACACGAGTCGTTTGTTTTGAATGATTTCAGTTACTGACTCGTGAGCAAGTGAGCCTCAGTGGAAACATCTATTCAGAGGAGAAGCTAAGCTAACAGGCAGGTGCTGGACCCCAACAGAGAGGGGACCCTGTTCTATTGTTCTTCCTCATCATCATCATCATCATCATCATCTGTCCTTTAATCTGTCAACTGTGTGTGTGTGTGTGTGTGTGTGTGTGTGTGTGTGTGTGTGTGTGTGTGTGTGTTTGTGTTTCCAGATCACAGCGGAGGAGCTGACGGGCAACGACGACTACATCGAGCTCTCCTTCAGCGCCAGGAAACTGGACGACAAGGTAACAGCTGTGTGTGTGTGTGTGTGTGGTGTGTGTGTGTGTGTGTGTGTGTGTGTGTGTGTGTTGTTGTTAAAAGTCTGAGCTCAGGTACGTTCACTCACTCACGTTCATCCTCTGGTGTCTGTGGAGACTTTCCCGCTCTGGAGCTTTGGTACTGATGTGTTTTACACCAACCAGCAATGATTGGTCTGCCAGAGCTGGAAATGGGAGTAACCATAGCAACAGAGACAGAGCAGGCTACAGCAACCTACAGGAGTATGGCGGGAAAACCTGGGAAGTTTCTGATGCTCCAGAAGAAAAGAAACTCAGACTTGAGAGAAAAAACCAAAGTCGAGGACAAACACTGATCAACAGTGGTGTGAGGACAGAGACAGAGACAGAGACAGAGGACAGAGAGAGAGACAGATGCTCAGACAGATGTTCAGACAGATGTTTGATGTTCATGATCGAACAGACTGTGAAACTTTATTGAATGAAATAAAATAATGTAAAACTTTTAAAAAGTCTGTGTCTGTACGTCTGTGTGTTCAGGACTTCTTCAGTAAGTCCGACCCCTTCCTGGAGATTTACAGACTGAACGACGACGCCACGCTGCAGCTCGTCTACAGGACCGAGGTACAAACACACACTGTGACATCACTGTGAGGTCACACCACGTGGCTGGACTCGCCAGATGTGTGATGATCTGCATCTGTAAAAACGTTTACAGGTTTTCTTTCATCATGATGAAACGGTTAATCAATCAATAAAACCTGAGCCTGTCACTCATCAATGATTGTTTCAACATCACAGAAGAAGTCCTGACGTCTTCTTCTTCTTCTTCTTCTCTGTCAGACGGTCATGAATAATCTCAACCCGGTGTGGAAAACTTTCAAAGTTTCTCTCAACTCACTCTGCAGCGGAGACCATGAACGCAAGCTGCAGGTACACACACACACACGCGCACGTGCACAAACACACATACACGTGCACACACACATACACGCGCGCACACACGCACGCACACACGCACACACGTCTCTGGTATCAGTCGATGATGTCGTGGCTCCAGTCTAAATGTGGACGTCTGATTGGTCGGGTCACAGACGGCAACTTCCTGATGACACAAACTACTGAAACATACAAGTGTTCACTGCCGCTGGTTGCCGTGGAAACCTTCTATCTCTAAGTTGAATTCTAACATTTAATTTGTTGCAAACTTTATTTAAAGTGAGACAACAACAAGGTGAAATCACAATGTGTGCGTGTGCGTGTGTGTGTGTGTGTGTGCGTGTGGTGTGTGTGTGTGTGTGTGGTGTGTGTGTGTGTGCGTGTGCGTGTGGTGTGCGTGTGGTGTGTGTGTGTGTGTGTGGTGTGTGTGTGTGTGTGTGTGTGTATGTGTGGTGTGTGTGTGTGTGTGCGTTGGCAGTGCACCGTGTGGGACTGGGACTCCAACGGGAAACACGACTACATCGGTGAGTTCGAGGCCACGTTCAAAGAGATGAGAGGAGCCATCGACGGACGACAGGTAGGTCATGTGACCATCACGTCACACGAGACGGTTTCTGTTCAAGTTGAACTGAACTCTTAAATAAATCTGAATGAAGTTTCCTTCAACACGAGTCGACAAACAGCTGATTCTCCATTAAACCACAGAAGAAGAAGAGGAGGTCGCTAAAAGACCCAGGTAAAGGTGAGACGACGGAGAACATAACGGAGCTCTGACGTGATGTTAATGTGAGGAAGGTTCATCCTCCTCTTCATCGCTCCTCTCTTCATGTTCGTCAGTTTATTCTCATTTCAACATCTCAGATGAACGAAACCACAGGTGGCAACACACCTGTGCCTCAGCCTCAGCCTGGTCTCAGTCCCTCACCTGTCGCTCTCTGGAGGGAAACTGGGGCGAGGACGATGCAGAGTCATCGTCATGGTTTCTGCTGGTTTACTTGAAAGTGGGTCAAACCTAAACCAGAAGCACTTCCTGTCAGTATGACCTTATATAGACAGGTGTGTGTCAGTACGACCTCAGGTGCAGACTCTAACTGATGAACATCATCTGATCTCCACCATCTTCTCGGGTTTAATATTCATGAACCATAAAAACAGGCCTGGAATAAAATTATAATAATGATCGTTAACAGTCACAATTAAGCTCCAGAAGAAAAACGCCAATCATCATGAGTCTTGTCTCATGTCTTCAGTCATCTTAGTCATCTCCTTTCTATCAGCTGAGGAGGGAGGACGATAAATAAAAAGAAAGGGGGGGGGGGGGGGGGTGGAGGAGGAGGTGAAGTTACTCTCCACCCAGCAGAGGAGAGTTTCTCTGCCGTGTCAGTGGAGGTCCAATCAGATCGGAGCCCCCCCCGGTTTCCACTTCCTGTTTCAGCCTCGTCCTCCTGCAGATTTTATTTCATGTTTCCTGAGTGGAGGGAAAATGCTGCAGGTGAACGGGTTAATGACGCCGGCGGTCTCGTCTCATCAGACAGTCACACGGGATCGTTACCATAGAAACACTAAGCTCTTTGTCACTGATAATGAGACAGCTGAGAGAGAGAGAGAGCGAGAGAGAGAGAGAGAGAGAGAGAGAGAAACAACCTGAGCAGGTGGAGGAGGAGGCGGAGCCGTGTTAACGTTTTAATTAGTGTCTGTCTCACTTCAGTCCGTTAGCGTTTCCTCTGGACAGCTGCGTCTTCATTAGCTCTGTCTCCGCCAGCGGCGTGTGGGGTAATTACATCACACCGTCCGTCTAAACAACAGCCCCAGAGGTGCGTTGTTAAAGGGCGCTCACTAATTGGAGCTTTCACAGAGATCTGGAGCTCAAGGACCTGACGGAGATCAGGTCAAACCTGCTGAGGTGAAACTCTGCTGCTCCCTGTGGTTTGTAGCCACGTTAGTGAACGATCTGCAGGGCTTTCTCCAGCATGGGAAGAGATGTTGGTCGAGGTTATGAAATATAACGTGGACTGACTTCCTCCTCTGCTAACGTCATGGCGACCACAGACACTGGGGGGCGCCTTCACTCCAACATCGACGTGTTGTTTTGGGGAATTTGTAGAAAAGACTTGACGCTTCAACCAGCTGCTGCACCAACGACTCACAGGCTCACAGGGTCTCAGCTGTTAGCACTGGGCTAACAACCTGACGCCGGTTACACCTTAAGTTTTCTACTTACTTATGGTTTAATTTCTCCTTAGCTGAGGGAGTTACTCTGTTTCTCAGAATCTCGCACCTCGACTGTCCCCGACCACAAAGATCATGTGACATAAAACCACAGAGCTCATTGAGGGGTCATCATCCACTGATATAAACTGATGATATAAACCTGTGATGTCACATCAGTTCCCCTCGTTAAGGGTTAAGGGTCATCTCTCTCTGAAGTCTGTCTCGTCTTAAATCAGAGGACCTTTAGTTTTGCCCTTACTTTGGTCTCTCAGGTCTTTTGTGCAACGGTTTAACTGACTCTAAGTGATTCCTCAAGTAAAGATTAAGAAGAGTTAAGGGGGTTTTGTGCCACTGTTTTTATTTTAAGAAAACCTTAACTCAGACTTTAAGGTGTTTTGTGCAGTACAGGTGTGTCCTGACATTTTGTTCTCCAGAAACACGGAGAACACTGATCTTGTTTAAGCTGTTGTTAGCTGGTTGTAGCTAACAGCTGGTGAACATGGCGGAGACCAAACACAGAGCTAACAGAGAGGGAAAACTGGACTGAGACTTATCACATGACACCATGACACATGTTTATTTGTGTGTGTGTGTATGAGACTCACTCAGCTGTTAAATTGATTGCGCAGCTGGAGGAGACAGACGTCTGCCTCAGACTCAGATTGACAGTCAGCTGTTTCAGGACGGACAGGAAGTCTCTCGGTCTGTTCTGGTCCCGGATCAGTTTAACCATTTTCACACCGTCAGAAATGTTGCTGATGACTCTGCATCTTCCTCGTCCCAGTTTCCCTCCAGTGAGAGAGACAGGTGACACTGAGACCAGACTGAGACTGAGGCACAGGTGTGTTTCCACCCAGTCAGAAACAAGAAACACTCAGGTTCTAGTTTGATGATCAGCTCTCTGCTGCATCGAGATGAAAACCTGGATAATAAAAGCAGCAGCTCCTCTTGAAGGTCACTCCTGGCTGACACCTTGTGTGTGTGTGTGTGTGTGTGTGTGTGTGTGTGTGTGTGTGTTGCAGGTGCAGTGGCCATGCATTAATCCAAAATACAAAATGAAGAAAAAGAACTACAAGAACTCTGGGATTGTGATTCTGAACCAGTGCAAGGTGACTGACGACTTCCTGTTTCTATCTTCGTCTTGTAAACTGAGTCTACGTCTTCCAAGGTTTAATCTGGGTTTGATCAACAGTTTAATCTGAGTTTAAACAAAATTTAATCTGGGTTTAATCACAGTTCACAAACTCAGCTCATCTTTGCTCCTCTGGTTTTTCTCGGCGTCTGGCTGGCAGCCTGTGTGAGGAACCAATTATGTGGCTCTGAGCAGCCTGACTAACCTGACATTTCCCGCCAGACGATGCTGAACGGCACTCAGACGGCGAGCGAGGGGAGCCTGGGGAACCCCGCTGCCGAGCGAGAGCCAGATAACATTTAGCCTGATGACACTCGACACGCGGAGGAGTTCCCGCTTCAAAACCAGTTAACGGCCGTTTGAGGAGAGCGAGGCGGGATGAGCTGCAGCACAACACGGAAACATATTACTGAGGCGCTGTGAGCGTGGCGAGATCATTAACACTTGATGGATGAGGAGTCGGAGAGGAGGCGGGAAATGAAGCCACACATTTTCAGGAGCAGGAGGAGAGTTAGTGCTGAGGTGACAGAATGAGAGCAGGTTTACAGGCCGAGCTCTAACGACCCGCAGGACGCCATCCATCCACAGCTGCAGCTCCGCCCACCTTACATCAGCTGATGCCTCATGATAATCAGCTGTTCTCATTCTGTCAGAGCTGCAGGGCCACGCTCAGGGAGTCAGACTTTACCCTCACATACTGTTTGACATTTGGCAGCAGTAAAAATCCCATAAATGTCTTTTAGCCTGAAAGTTGATGACTTTTCCTAAAGTGACCCAAAATACACAAAAATGAAAGTATTGTCAAATGTTATACTTTTGTTCAGCTGCTACAAATCTGACCCGTATCTATTGAAGTGGATTGTAGAGCCACAGATATTAGATTTGTGGGTCAGATGAAGGAACATGGAGGTTTTAGGGGATCTTGAAACTGTGAAACTGTACCTGCCATGTCTGTGTGTATTTGTTATGGGACAGTGGTGACAGAGTTCAAGGGGGACCTCGACACTGTCACCAGAACTGTCTGTGTTCCCGCCACATCTGCCCAGGTTCCCCCAGAGACAGGCACCTGCTGGTCTTTGAAGGGTCATGGGGGGGGGGTCATTATAAAGGTACCTGAGCTGCCACTTCACTGACTGAGGTTCTGGCAGCAGACAGACTGTGCAGTAGATGTTTCTCTCCAAAATCCAGTGATGAAAACCTAAAGAATACTCTCTCCTTGCTCTGACACATTAATTAAGGATTAATCCTCCATGTATTAATGTCAGAGAGGCTGTTTATACTTTCTACATAGATCTGTAGTTCAAGATTCACTACAGACACTTATTATGAGGGAGTTCTTACTGTGATGTGGAGGCAGAAACATGAACAGTATGTAAATAAAAATGAACTAGAATCACCTCCTCGTGGTCGTATCCCTCCACCACTCAGACTAGTTCCAGGTCTCATCTCTGTTTATAGAGTCAGAGAAAATAGTTGTGTGAAAGTTTGTCATAATTGCTGTGAAGTCTTGAGTAATGGCTAAAAAGTGTTTTCTGAGGTCACTGTGACCTTGACCTTTGACCTTTGACCACCATAGTCTAATCAGTTCCTCCCTGAGTTTATCCATCAACATGTTACAGAGATACAGCGATCACAAGGCCAAAACTGTGTTTTATGAGGTCACCACACCTGTTAACTCAGTGATGCATAGATGGTTAAAATATCCGACTCCCTCCACGCAGACCAGAACCACTGAACATGACAGAGCAGTGTGACATCATTGCTCTCTCTCTCACTTTGATGTTTCCACCTTTAAATATTCATGTTTTTATTTCCTCGTCTGCAGATCATCAAGATGCACTCCTTCCTGGATTACATCATGGGAGGCTGTCAGATCCAGTTTACAGTGAGAGAACACACACGCACACACACACACACACAC